TTTTCTCTGCCTGCTGACCTGCATGAGAAGCCATTTTCAGATGTCTCTGTGCCTGTAGCTAAAGAGATGCAGTTGTTACCTGCAGTGTGGCTGTTACATAGAAGCACAGACGGGTGATTCCCCCTCTCCTGACAGCTAGGTGGATAGCTGTGCTGTAGAGAAGGAAGCGAGGGAAACACCCAGGCGTATGAAACGAATCACAGCGGCACAGCCATCATCAGCTGTGCCACTCTGTGGAGGTTGCACAGGGAACCCTGCTGGAATCAAATGGATACAGGCATTTACACAAACAAACTCTTATGCACACATACACATAGACACTCGCCAGCACATATATGCACATGCACACAAAGCCTGCCTTGACAAACCAAGCACCCCGCTGTTTTTGACCAAGGTGGACAATTTCAAACACACATGCAAACACATGTACATTTTGGGTACATGCACAGTGCACACAACAATACTGTGCTGTATTAAAGCTCAGACATCTCTGAATGCTCTGAGGGTTTTCCATTGGCTCTCATCATATTTTATTCATAGTTTGTGAATAAACACAAATAGGCTGGATGAGTGTATGGATGTGGGCACTAATGCCTGTTGGTGTGTTACATTCAACTGACCCTGGCCAAAGTTATTCTTGGCAAACCTGTCGTATCGTTCAAGAGTGTGCTTGGTGAAGTCTCGGCTATTTCCTACAAGCTTCAAAATGTTGCGTGCCCCCTCACTCTCACTACGTTTCTCTCCTTTATTCTTCCTCTCTCCCTTTCTCACCCGGTGTGAGATGCACACATTCACAAGCAGGAAAGAGGAGCACTCATACATTATCATTTAACACTCTTAATCTTAATTTGTTACCTATCAGGAGATATGTGACCTCATTAACATTGCTTCTCCGTCTTTCTCTCCTCCTATTCCATGCACCCACCCTCACCTCCTGAATTCATCCCTCCTTTCATGTTTCCTGCCTTCCCCATTTATATTTACTCATAGCTCTTATCTTTCCGTCTCTTCTCCCTTTTTAACTCTTGATGCGTCCTCCTTCATGAGAACCTGTGAGCACTCAACAGACCCACTGAAAACTGTCTCTAATCTAAAAGTTAATTAAGTCTGTTTTCCTGCTCCTCTCTTCCTCTCAAGCATGCCTTTCTGGTTGAAAGACTGCTGTCACTTTTTCCCAAATGAATTTGCCATATGTTCCATGTGGGTCGAGCTGGAATGCATACAACCCGGTAGGTGCTTCACACTTCCAGAAGGCCCCAAGTGCCTGGTGACAGGAGCAGACCGACACCATGTAATTCAGAGTGACAGCATCTAATTAAGTATAATTGCATGGTGTCAATCTTTGATGTGTTTTTTAATGTATAAGGGGGATATTTATGAGTTACATATAGAGACAATATAGAGGGAATCTCACACCAGATGGATTGGAAGTGAAAATAGACTTGGCTTGTCTCTCAACATGAGGAAATGTGGATCTGGAACAGAGCTATCCCTCCTAATCCTCTCCTCTCTCCCATTCACTTCTCCTTCTGTTGTGCAGCTCTGTTTTTTTATATTTGTCCTCGCTCCCTTCATTCATCTGGGCTAATTCCCAGGCCAGAAGCCAACCAGTTCCTCCTCTGTTCTGACTGACTCAGTGTTCTGTTCTCCTCCTCCTCCTCCTCCTCCTCCTCCTCCTCCTTTGTCTGTCCTTCCTTTCTCAGGGTGCTGGCTGTACAGCTCTGGTGGTTGCCGTGGTAGCCAGGAAGCTGGAGCTGACCAAGGCTGAGAAACATGTACACAACTTCATGATGGACACGCAACTCACCAAGCGGGTGTGTAGGCTTGTATGGTGTCAGTGTTTGTGAATGAGTGTGTTGTACTGTTGCAAAATAACCCACATTTAATGAATGAATAAATAAGTGTTTAAAAAGCAACATGAATCGGCCTGTAACGGAAATGTAAGTTCTAAAAATACCGTTTTTATGGCTCATGGTCCTGTGGGGGGGTTTAACACTATATTTTAGGATATCTTTGGAGGCGGGAGACAAGGTGGTGGAGAGCCCGACTAATGGCTTGGCCTTTTAATGCCCCTCCATCACCCTTCCAGCTACTTCATCACATTATCCCCCTGTATTGTTGCAGCAGAATACCATGATATTTGAGTGAGTTAAGGCAATAAAAGGTCATCTCTTTCTCGCTCTCTCTGTTCTACTCCCCCACTAACTGTCTCTCTCTTTCTTGCCATCTCCGATCGTTTTCCTCCCACATGGCCCATGCCCCTCCACCCTACCGCCCCCTCTCTCCTCTGACATTTGTCTCTCTTACAGTAAACTCCTTTCTCTCTCTCTTTCAGTCTTTCATCTTCTCTCCTCTCCTTCCTCTGTTGCCCTCTCCTTTTCTTGTCTCTTTGCCCCGCTCCTGTTCTCCATCTTTCACCCCCTCCCTCCTCCGATCCTTTTCAATTTTTTATACAGACCCAAGTTTTAAAAATAGCTTCCATATCAAAAATGTAGGGTATATTTTGGCAGAAAGGTATCTGGGTGACTGAATGGGACAGGGTGATCAATCATTTCAGCTTGGATAAACTATCTACAGAGGAGCCAAATACAATCTGACTTTATTGGAGTAAGACACTCACTTCATCTCATCTGGATAGGTCAGTCAGACATTTAACACCTTTAACCTTGTGTGTGTTTATGTGTGTGCCTGCATGCACAGTACTTATAATCGGGAATCCAGCTGCTGACCATCTAAATCAGTTGTCCCCAATCTTTTTTGTTTGATGTAAGGATTTTAACTGGATTTTATTTGGCGCTATTAATTATACAAAATGTGTTACAAGACATAGTGACACAGTTATAGGACACAGTGAACTTGGAATTACTACATTTAGTCTTTGTCTCTTTGCTGCGTGTCAAGCCACACATCTGCTCTTTGCTTGGGTGAGGATATGGTTCAGGGATGCCTTGTGTTAAGAGTAGGTTAGGTCTGGAAAATGGTGCTGCTTACTGACGGGCTTAAAAGATTTATAACGGCATGGTACAACCCCCCACCCGCAGGTAGTGATAGATGTTTACTCCCTTTATATTACGTTGAATGTGCAGTGATAAAGCATGGTATATATTTTCTGTTTAGATAAAAACCCAGCACTCGTTGTCCAGCGCAGCTACATTCTGTTAAGCCCAGCTCTACCTGCCTAAATCAGCCTACGAACTGTCAAGTCCCCTGCAGTGAAACAACTTTATAATAAATGACTTGGTTTGAATTATTTTTGTGTTCATTGTGTGTGACTGCACACTCATAATTTAGTACACACTTAAGAGTCCTTTATTATGCAAGTATTTTACAGAAAGCCCAATGATTAAAGCTGTTGTATGCACATTGATTGATATATGACTGGGGCTGTTCACTGTCATATCATCCTAACAAGAGAATACAGTCTATCAATGCTTTAAAATGAATAATGCAACGACAGACTCTACAACCTGCCACACACACACACACACGATAGACAGGAGAGCACACACAAACACCAACTTTCTACTTGAAGTGTCGTTTCCCTTTGAAGGATTAGCAAGAATGTCAATTAAATGCCAATCAGCGAAGCTCCTAACCCGTAGACACGGTTTCTGGTAATGTCAGTGTTTGATGTTTCCTTTATCTTTGCACATGTGTTATGTAAAAAAAGGACCTAAATAGTACAGAGTTAAATCCCTATAACAAGCAAATGAACTTGTACACTTTTCCCCAGACATTTGTGCACTGTACAAACCATTTTATTCCAAATGTGTGTTTTTGACAGTCTGAGGCCCACTTCAACATGTTTGATAATATTTTCACTTTAAATCATTTGAGTGTTCCTCTTGTTTCATCCTCCGATTTCAGACACACCCAAGGAGACATCTTAATGTTGAAATCTTGTGTGGCACAGATCTAATCAGGGAGGATGATGTGCTTTAAAGCCATCAAAGTTCAATGCACAGGGTTGCTGTTTGTGCAGTGTTCACAGAAGTGATGTGCTCTCCCTCCTGATAGGATTAACACAGACATGAATTAAATAGTAGGTAACATAGCACCTAAGTCGACCATGTGCGTAGGGTCCATGTGTGATGTTGTGTTAAAGACGTTTAAAAGGCTGGCACCCTGGTTGCAGCAGTTTACTGGGGCTTCATGTTGAAGTATTGGCTCATTTAGAGCACTGCTGGAAGTCCATCTGGTCAGAGCTTTGCCCTGAACATTCACGGAGCACTCTCCACACTGAAAAAAATCAGGGCACAATTACTGTAAGCATGAATGGATTACCGAACAGACCTATTGGGCAAAGGCCTGGGGGCCCGCGGGATGTAAAACAGACACAAAACAGCCAGAAAAAAAGAACACAAGAACATCCAAATCAACCTCACAGACAAAAACAAGTAAGAAAATACCTCAAAAAGATGTAAAGCAACTAAAAGGGGAAACAAAATAGCTAAGCAGAGATGTTTTATATGTCTGTACCCATGGGCGCACTGTATCATAACCTATCCATGACTGTAAGGGCTAAGTCAGTGGAGTAGAGTGGTGTCTCCTTCTGTTTGATGGCACTGTCAATTAAATGCAACACACTGAAGCAACAAGCTTTTTGACTGTGTGAAAATGACTATAACAGTCTGTTTCTGAGGTCAGTACTTTCATTTTAAGCTTTCTAAATCTTTTTGCAAATTTGAAAATGTTAGGCCTTTTTATAAATTTGCACTCTGAATGTGTACCCTGCCTCCATAACCACTGGTTAAATCAGAGCACTTTACAAAGTCTCCATAGCACATTCAGAGCCTCGCCCTCTCTGAATATTCACATTGCACTCTGGGCTCTGGTTAAGGAGGAGGTCCATCTACTGTTTGCACCACAGGCCAAATGAGAGCAATCAAACCTACAAGGATTTTTACTGCACTAGCTTTAACTTTTCAGAGTAAAAAGAACTGCTCGTCCTAAAGCCTTTGAATTCACTGACAAGCCAATTGTAGCATTATTAGTGCAGACATATTGTGACAGTGACAAAAATTAATTTGACTCTCATTAAATTCATTTGCACTGCTCTCTGGTGTTTTTCTCTTTTTACCAGTTGAACCTGAGCGTACTTTTCCTTTTATTAACATAGCACTGTAAAGATTCTCTATTGTTTGAATTAAATTATCTCATGCAGGAGACAAAATGTATCAGTTCACCAGTAGGAACCAATTATTTTATTTTTTAGAAATGTTCTTTGATCTCTTTTTAGTTTGATCCTTTAATTTGAACCTAAATTAACTCCTCAGCTTTTGCTCTAGATGTTAAGATGGAGATTTTTTAAAAACATTTTCTCTTATTTTTTCTTCTTTGTGTGCATTTTTTTTTTTTATTTGTGACAATTTTTGTGTGTCTTTATGTATGTGAGACTTGTCTCTTCCCTTCGTCACCATGTCTTTGAGGGGAACGTTAGAGCAGGTAAGGCCACATGTCACTGTGGCACATGGATGAGTGGGAGGTTGTTGTCAAGGTAACTGGCCTGTTTGTTTGTTTTCTGCTCTCGGGGAAAGCACCATTGTACCACTGGCATCGCAGCACTTAATTACTGATTGCATACACAAATCATTAAGGCTCTCTTATGGCCAGAGTTTTTTTCTTTCTTCTTCAGTCTCTCTCTATATATAATGATGTGTCAGAGCCCAGTTTTGCGTCCATGCTTTTTTGGGAAAAAAAAGTTGGTAACATTACTGTTATTATTAATAGTATTACCTGTAATGGTATCTTTAAACATTTTCTATTTGTACTGATTGATTTGTTCTCCACAATATGTCATCAACTGCCCAGCATGCTAAGATATGGGAACCCCTTCTCTCAACATGTTTCACATGTACCTGCCATAAGGTGTGCCATGTAGGGGAGCAGTCCAAACAGATATTCGACTCAAGCCAGCCATATGGTCCAGGAACAGCTGCTACTGTCATGATTCGGTTCCGCTGCTTCCTGTCTGGCTTTTATTTTGACGTTACTTCCTGTTTTGGTTTCACCTTAGTTTCGGTCTTTTTGCGTTCTTCATCACTCACATTGGTTTCACCTGTTTCGTTATTGTTTACACCTCTATTTAGGCAGCGTCCTCCCACCAGGACGCTGCCAGATTGTTCTAGACCCCAGCTCTGACTTTACAGCATTTTCTTCGGTTTTGGTATTTTGTGTTTCTGACCTGGATTGTTACCTTGGTATATTCCTTTCTGCTTTGCCCTCTTGTCTCGTACTGCCACAGTGTATGATATCTGACTTCCCTCTGGACTACGTATTTTGGATCACCTCTGTTGGATGTGTTTGCTGGCTCTGACCTCGGACATGTGAATTTTGTGTTTTCTTTTGTTCAACGTTAGTTCTCTTAATAAAGAGACGGCTTTGTTTTACACTTCCTCGTCTGGCCATTTAATTGAGTTCACTTAACACTTTTCGGCCGCATTACGCGTGTTGTTTCTGACAGCTGCTGCTGTCATTTGATTTCCAGTGGAGTGTTCTTAGTGGTCCATGTTGAGTCTTTTATTCTTTTTAATGGACTTACCGCCTTTGCCTCAGTTTATACATTAACTCCTATGAGCAGGGAGAGAGAATAAAGAGGGTGTTGGGGGCAATTAACTGTAAATTACAATCTCTCATGCATGTTGAGAGGTTTCCGGGATTTAAAAGAAGGGTGTAACCTTAGCATCATCTAATTAAATGGCCTAAAGCGGTGCCCCAGGCTCCCTCTGCACTGTTGGATAAATGTTGGATGTTTCAGTGAAAACTTCCAGTGAGCCAGCCTAACAGACACAAGATGCCATCATTCATCACATTTCACCCTACAGTGATTAATCAACTGATAAATCGAATCTGACATCAGTTTACTAATGGGCCTGTATACTGTGTACAAGGGGTTTTAGATCTGCTCTTCAGTAGCCTGGTCTATGGTTAAAACCAGGGCTGGGCTTTGGTCCTGGAGGACCCGGGGCACTTCTCTTTTGGAGGCCGCCTTTCCCGACCCACCCAGTGATTAAGGCCTAAAATTTAGATTCATGGATTTTTGACTTTAGGACTCATGAAAACCCTGTTTGTCAGGCTGAGTTTAAAATAGGGATGGACATCAGAATTATTTTTGAGGTCAACTACTCAAGCCAATTTCAGTAAATGACTCAATTAGAGTAAGTCATGTCATGTGAACTAAACATGAACATTTTTATCTACAACTTTTCATACTGAATATTTTATCAGTAGCTGTCAGCTGTAAATAAGAACTGAAATTGTAATGACTGACCAGTAACGTGAAAAATTTGCTCCATGACTCAAGCTCCTGAAGGGGCCTTGTATAATCTAATGTAGGTTCTGTAGGCTCCTTTAGGTTTGACTTCCTCTGTGTCATTGAAAACACATCTGCAAAGCCTGGGGCCTCCTACTCTCTTCATCTGTAGCCAGCAGTGCGTCTACTGTACGTCTGCATGTGTGCATGTGTAGGCGTTGTATGTGTGAGCAGTCCTTGACTGCGGTGGATGGGTGTTGATTAGCCAAGCTGCCGGGGTCTTTTGTGCTGCTCAGACGGGGGTATAATTGTTCTTTGTTCAATGTTCAGCATCTCTTTGAAGTCTCTCATTCAATTTATGTCCTTACAGATTTTCTCTCCCTTCTCCCTGCTCTGTGGTATCCACCCACGCTTTTTTCACTGGGTGTCAGACCCCTGTGTTGTAATTACATAGAAACCTATATAATACATGAAACATACAGGAGCTTATATGGATATACTGTAACAGAATCCTGATCTTTGTTCACAGAAATGAACCACAAGCCTGCACTGACATTTTGAATCTGTAATTTATTAAATGACAGCAATCTCACTTTCTGATGGTATGAGTTAAAAGCATCTGAAGCCTATGTCTGACCAGTAAAATGGAGAAAACTAAGCATCCTGTTATTGTCTCTGATGGCTGTCAGGCTGTCTGTAAGTGAGCATCATTACACAGGCAATTTTGTTTGTCTTTGACAGGTAGTTGAAGAGCAACAGCTCATGCCATCATTGTTTCTTTCAACTGTTGTCATATTTAAGTGGGAGATCACTAGTTTTAATGAACTGTGGTGGTAATGTGTTGAATCAACCAGCCAGGATAACGTGACCCATTTGCGTTAGTCTAAGATATAATATGGTGTAAAAACAGACCAAGAGAAGAAAGAAGTGTTTGTGAGGGAGAGACTCCTGTTGGTTCTCATTGCCAAATCTCCCTAAGGAGAGAACTGTTTATGCATGCATGAAAAGCATTGGCAAGTAAACTGGTGTGTGTAGAGTCAGACAGAATGAGGGCAGCCTCTAAGAAAGACAACAGTGGGTTCTTTTTTTTTCTTTGCATAGAGACAAAGGAGAATGGTGGGAAAAGAGAGAGAGGTTGTGAAAACCTGTTGCCCACATCAGTTGCCAAGGGCTACCTGTTGCTAATAATAATATGTATGTATTTGTGTTTTTCTCTGGGCGCAGATAAAGAACGCGGCAGCTAACGTGTTAAGGGAGACCTGGCTCATCTACAAACACACAAAGCTGACGAAGAAGATTGACCACTCCAGGGTCCGCAAACACCAGCGGAAGTTCCTCCAGGCTATACATCAGTGAGACCACACCTAATAGGCGCACACACACACACACGCACATAGCCGTGCTGAGCTGATGAGGCCTTTGAAATCAGCTGTACTTTCTATACACCCACAGGCTGAATCAACACCGATAATCAGATAAAGTACATAAGTCCCTTCACACACACACACACACACAAAGAGATTCATGGACACACACTTAATGAATCATCATCTACTAAAGGGCAGGTTCACTCAAAGCAAATACTGTTGTGGGACTGGATAATCAGTGCATTGTGTACTGTTAGACACTCCGATCATCTTAACTAAACAGCGTTTGTTGACACAAATAGAACAGAACTTGATAACCACATACTATACTTCAGTTCTCTGACAGCACTGCTTCCTTACATTTGAATGTTGGCACTCTCTCTGTCTAGCATCCAAATGAAGTGACCCTTTAACAGTGCTTGCTCTCTTGATCTTGAACAGTTCAGTCTGACTTGAGAACATTAATAAGGAGACCTAGGACTCTTTTCATTGTTGAATAAAAAGGTTAAACCTGAAGCATGTGGACTGTAGATGAGAGGTTGACTCTCTAAACACTGTAACAAGGTGATATTATGGAGATATGAGGACATTTTTTATTTAAATCTGTTAGCTTAGTGGAAAGACAAGTTCATCTGGAGGTGCAGCCTCATAAAATCATCCATTTATTTCATTATCATTTCGTTTCATTTCCCTGTAGACCTTATTCCCCTGAAGGTTTCTGCCATGTTTATTTACTTTAGAGCAAAAAGATCTACATTAAATCTATGTATATTTTCACCTGCATTATAAAATTACAGTATTTAAAGGCACACTGTGTGTTAGCTGTATTTGTACATTCCAATCCAGCAACACACTGCAGGTAGAAATGCAGCTGGACAAGGTGACCGTGTCACTGTGCTGTTGTCTGGTCCCAGAGGGATTAGCTTTCTGGACTGGCCACTGTGTATTTACCAGGCTTCAACTATGTATGTGTGTTTGTGTATTTTATGCATGCATCTGTGTGTATGTTTGTAGATTACGCAGTGTAAAAATGGAGCAGAGGAAACTCAGTGATCAGGCCAACACACTAGTGGACCTCTCAAAGGTGAGACACACATTATGCAGGGCACACACTTGGCCGACAAATAACTGTCACACAGGTTAGTAAGTCATATCTAACATACCTAACAGGTACAAAATATCCAACAACTTTCCTCCGTTTCCAGGCTGACCTGCCCATTTCTGGCATTGTGTCGCCTAGCAACCAAACAAGTGTTAAAACAGGGATAACTGAGTGAAAGAGAGAGGAGGAAATGAGATGAAGAAGGGGAGTGCTCATGTTTTTTTTTTTGCTGTGTGGGTGCCTGAGTGAGAATGTGAGCGCACATGTATGTGCGTGTGTGTTTGCATGTCAGAGTGTGTGATTGTGAAAGAGAGACGGAGGTGAGGGAGTGTGACAGAGACTTCAGTAAGAGGGAGAAAGAGATGGAGTGAAGGTGTCTGTGTTGCCGTGTTTCCAGGGAGCACTGCTTTAGCACTAAATATTTTTCAGTTATACAATCTCTGACTACATCTCAACTGGCCACTTAAACATTTACCATGGTTACGAAGGCCAAAATGTACAAGACAGGGATGCTCACACCCTGCTTTCATTCTCTCTCTCCTCTCTCGTATTCTCTCTTTCTTCACAGTGTTATAGCAGCCACACAGAGACTTCCCTCCAGGTTCTTCTTCATTCCAGCTTCTATTCCCTCTTGAACATTTTTTCCTCTTTTGCTCGGTGTCTTAATCACTCCTCCCAAGCATCATGCTTGCTCTATTCTCACTTTTACTTCAACCTCAAACACCCTTTGCGGTTTCTTCTTTTTTGATCCAGAAGTATTTTAAATAAGCTTTATTAAAGCAAATGTCATAATACCGTTTATGTCTATTGCAATCTGTCTCCTTCCATGAAAATATTCCATTTGCACTGATTCACCTCCCACTCTTCTCCCCTCACCTCACCTCTACTCTCACAGATGCAGAGTGTCATGTATGAGCTCATGTCAGAGCTCAATGATCGCAGTGAGGACCTGGAACGCCAGATGCTGTCCCTGGAACAGCGGGTGGAGCAGCTCACCGCTGGGTTCAGCGCCCTACCGGCCCACCTCTCAGCCACCCTCAGCGCCCAGCACGCTGCTTTGGTCCACCTACTCAGAGAAAGAGATGCGAGGGACGGTAGAGGAGGAGCAGGAGGTGCTGTGGTCCCACTCTCCCCAGCAGCTTCTTTAGCCACTGCTCCAGCTTCAGTTTCTCCTGTCCAGGTCACAGCCCCAGCACCAACCCAAGCCCTGGTCCCTACTTTGGCCTTGGAGTCCCCTCTGTCACCTCTACCACTGACTCCAGAGGGGAGCCAGGAGGCTAGTCCTAACCCCAATACCTGCACCTCCAGCTGCTGAAGACAGCTCTGAGGACCATGAGAGGACAAATAGAAAGAAAATAGGGGAGAGAGCCGGGAGTTTGCAGTTCTCTCACTAAGAAAGGGAAAGGAGAGAGGAGAAGAGGACTGTGAAGTGATCCTCCAAAACTAACTAGCCTCTTGAGGGAGGGATGAAGACAGGACTAGGAGGAGAAATAATGGCGTCAAGATGGAGGGTTAGTAGGAATGATGGACTTTGGGGCACTTTCCTTGAGAGGGAAGGAGACGAAAAATGGAGATAAACTGGAAACTAAAAGTAAGAGAGGGAGGAAGCATGTCAAGATAGTGAGACATGGAGGTAGAGAGGAGGAAGAGAGAGGAAGAGGTAGAAGTAGAGGTCAAATTTATTAATCTACATAATCCATAGAAGAAATAACAAGAAATAATTATATGAACTCAGAGCACCTAAATGGAATCCACTTCCAATTACTAAAAAGGCCTTTTACTCTCTCTATCTCCCTCCTCTGTCTTTCCTTCCCCCTCTCCCAATCTCTCTCCCTCATCAGGAATTAATGACCATGACTTTTTATCCTTATGGTGTATTTTCTATCTGAATGCTAACTGTATGTTAACAAGCATCCCTTTAACAGAAGGTCCGGTCAATACAATGACAGCAAAAAAAAAAAAAAAAAACACACACACAAATGACTCATCACCTACGCAATACAAGGTAACACAGCACAAACATAAATACACAATCTTTCACAATGCAGGCCCTATTTACACTCAACAAAATGAATGCACTAGCCCACAGGATAATATGAAAGCCTATACTGCCAAGCACCCAATGCACTGTCATTCTCCACAGAGCACTGCCAAGCAATGTAGTCACACTGTAAAAAAAATGTTCATCTTAAAGATTTATCTTTTATGGCTGTGAGTTAATGCAGTAGTTTAGACTTGCAATGCGTTGTTGTGACATTTTAAGTACTCGCTTGGGAGAACTGTAACTGTTCATTGAACTGCGCGAATTACAGATGAAACTGAAATAAGCTGATATGATACTGAGGAACATGAGTCATAATGTCTGTTTGTGATAAAGAAGACAGTAGCAGATGAGAAACTAGTGTAACACAACTAAAACAGGACTTTATTACTGCATTTACTGATTTACAGATGAAGCTGAACTGATTATCTGTTAAAGTACCTGTAAGTTTGCTGTTCTGAAATGAGACTTCATAAGAGCTTGGTTTTGTTTCATTTCTGTGAACGTTTATGAAAACCTCAGAACATGGACAATTAATAGTTGCATCAACTGCATTATTACTGGAGTGGCTGTTAGAAGAATGATTAGATTACAACTCAAACTTTTATTAAACTGCCATTTCAATCTGGTTGATTCATTCTGAAGATGGAATCACAACTATTTATCCAATACTGGCTTTACAACACGGAACATAAATGAGTCTCTGTCGTTATATGTTATCAAAACATTTACTGGAGTCTGTCTAACTGGAGACATACAAAAACAGCAATCAAAACTTTGTCCATCAATAATAAATGATCTGCTCATTCCTTTATTTAGTGGCTGGAGTCAGTGGAGTTGACTGAGATGCTGTAGTATATATTGTTTGCTTTCAATCTCTGAAAAATGTTATATGTAGAATATTGATTTTTTACATTAGTAATTTAATTGACTTTTTAAAAATCCAGCAATGATTTAACTGTGTGATTGTAGGTCGATGTGATTAATATTTTTCACAGTGTATGGTTGTGTCTGTGACTCTTTATGAAGGGAAGGAGATCTTACCTACTGCCATCCTTTATCAAGCTTGCAGTCTCAAATCAGTTAACATGAATGTATTCTGTGTAAACACCCAAACACTCTTGCTTTGCTCAATCACTTAAACTGCCATGCAGACACAAGAACAGACACCCACACGCATGTACACACAGATATACACACACGCCTCAACAACCAAAGTGCTCTCTCTTAAATGGACTTCAATAAAAGGCAGGGAACGCTGCTGTCACTGGGGACAAAAGATAGCAGGAGGCGTTGCAGATAGCTTGACAATACTTCTGAGGAAATAACTGTGAAAATCTGGGCATGGACTTTTCATAGTGCTGTACATGGACTGCTCTTCACTGCTTTAAAACAGATGAAGGTGGACTACAGATAAACACTAGGGAATACAAATAAACCTTATAAAGGATAAATGGCCATGAAGGAACAGCTGTTCATGAAATAAATAAGCATAGTAAGTGAGACAGTTATATCTGAGAGGAATTATATTCTAATAGTATAATCAGAAAAGACACAAGCCTACCTTGCATTGGAGACAATATCGAAAACTGTCTTATAGCGACACGCTGTGGCCGGAATACTGAATTACATATGCTTGGAATATTGTACAGTATGCTGTTAACGAAATCTAGCTTTGTATTGCTTAGTCTTTTCTACCATTATGATTAAACGCAGTTATAGTTGATATCTAATATTACTAAGCTATAGTATTCTTCTCATTTGTCATGACAATTATATTATGATGTATTAACAATACGTTAAATAACCATGAACAAGGAAAGTGCCGTTTGAGGTTGAAATTATTTTGTAATTTTATTTTATCAGACAGAATTAATAAAGTATATATATATAACACTACAGCTTCATGTTTTGTGTGTTTCCGTTATTTAGTTCTGTTGTATTAATTTTACTTATTTATTCGGTGGTTTGGCCTACATTGGTGCAACGTTTTAGAAAAAAATCCCTTTACAGTTGCCACAGGCATATCTGGTCGATCATGAGATAATTTCCTCATACCGTTCACTGCAAGAGGATAGTCCCCCTCTGGGGCACAACAATTTTACCATTATCTGTTTGTTACGAAACAGTGAGACAACCTTGTATTTTATCTGGTCCATCGTGCTACCGTCTTTCCAACACGTTCTCCTGGGTTCAGTAGTTCCCAGGTTACGTCACAACGCTTCACTGTCTTATCCTCTCGCGATGTTTGGAGAAACACCCACGGTCTAGGGTCTTGTTAATAGGTGATTAAGTCAATTGCCGCTAATTTCAAGTGAGTTGGACGAGTTCGGATTATATTTTAATGACTTGACTATGTTTTGATGGGGCGTAAACTTGTTAACTGTTGGACCTTTTAGGATATAGATTAGGTAACGTTTATTTTAGCTAGAAAACTGAATACACAATTTGAAAATGTAGCTACAACATGTTAACTTAACTTCCTGCGCATTTGCGATGTTGCTATGTAGTCTACACCGTGATAAAGCAAAACACGTTGCAAAGTGCACTTTATTGTTGCAGACAATTTTTTAGCTAAAGTTACACAACACAACTAAAAGTATTACAATAAATTTCACAATTATAGCCGAGAAGAGGGGTAACATTAAGAGCGAATATGCTCAGGGGTTGGGGTTTAAATTCCTTCAGAGAGATGGTTTAAGTAAATTTTGTGTAGTTGCTGGTGGTGTGTCTCTGTGATTATGTTAATCTAAGTATGTAACCTGAGGAAATCGTCCAGACCTCCCGCTGCTCATCAGTCCTCTACTACATGCGTCACACATCATGTATAAGCATGGGGCTTTGGTTAAGGGAAGTGGAAATGTGTTTGATATGTGAAAGTGTGTATATGCCTGTGTCTAGTTTTCCCATAATCAAATTTAAGGGCCACTTTCACATTTTAATCCAGCTAATTATACAAGTTCTATCCTGAATATGGTGTCCTGCATAGGTGCAATTTTTTGTAAATACTGTGTGGTTATAAATGGGAAGCCTATGTTTATCATCTAAGTACAAGTACAAGTAAAGGGGCCAAACACATCAAGTCTTTATTTGTCATATAACATTATACAGTATGTGCATGGGTTGTCATGTGCCACACTAAACTTTTTATTTAATATTTGCTCACTGGACATACCTTGTGGTGTGAAATAATGAGTCAATTCAATATACCGAGATCCTAACAATGACTTTAATGCACATGTTAAGCAGCTTCCTTATAGTCTTATAAGTCTTCTTACTGACTGATGAGAGCTGAGTCAGAGCTGTTCAAATTAAATGCCTTCCTATTAGTTCACAGTTGCCACAATTGTGACCACAAACCAATACTTTCAAGGCTTTTTTTTGCAAGTAAATTTAATTGAGCATGAAGACAGTCGCAGCATTTACACAATCTCTCCTTAACAGAGGAAATTGATTTTTATTTTCTAATAAAAGAGGTGTCAGATAAACCCAGCTTGTTTTGTGGTTAGCCCAGGGTGAAAATAAAACAGTGACAGAGATGTGAAAGCCAGGCAGCCTGAAGCAGTGCTCTACCCAGGCCGCAGCACGTACCCAGATGTGATGGGCTTGTTATCAGTGTTATTTACTGGCTGGCTCTTCTGTCCCCAGGACTTTCATCATCTCTCCCAGGCTCTCTGTATTTTCATGGTTGTGTTCTATAATTTTAAAGCCAAGCTTAATGTCCTAGTCTGGTTCTCCTCTCTGCTTCTCTCTTTTTCACTCCACCTGTCTCAACCTCCCTCCCTTTTTCAGGAAACCCATTAGGTTTTTCAGGATTGCTGCTTAAGCCAAGGACCCAGTGACAGCTGAGGTCATCGGTAGAAGAGGTTGGATTACTCGAGAAAATGAAAATGGGGAAGTGTTTTTACTCCTATTTGCGCAAAGTTTAGACAACAAAAAAATAAGAATCTAACTGCAAGAACTTTTTATTACACAAGAACAATTTGCTAAACCCTAAGGTAAGAAAGCACTAAGAATGTAACACCGGAAAGAACACATTTTAATAAATGTAAATAAGATGCTTTTTTTCAGGTTTTAAGCCATTTGTTATAAAACACAATTTAACATTACAGCTGACTACTTTCCAAATCAGTGTAGATGTGATACACTGAAATGATGATTATGAAACATTAATTTTGCCTTCTTTTTTGTTTTGTTTTTTTTGGGGGGGGTTTTGTTGTTCTTCTTCTACAGGGATTCTCATGATCTACTGCATGGTTTTCTCCAGGCCTGACTGATTCTGTCTGGATGGTGGAGTCCAGCTGCATCTTTGGAGGCTGGCCACCATTATCACCTTATCTGTGCTGGTCTGTGATCATGTGCTATACAAGTACCTGTGAAGTGTAATCTCTTCATTCTAACAGTCGGCCAAAATGTTACCAGGTTCTGTCAGCGGCAGATTGTTCACATTGTGATCTCATTTCTTCTTTGTGCTGACTTGATCTGTTGTCTGTACAGGAAGTTTCTACCCCCAAAATGTATTTAGCTGTCCACGGGCCATATTTTACCTCTCTAAAAATTTCATCCAAAGCCATTCATTACTTTTTGAGTTATTCCGTGAGCAAACCAACCAACAAGCAAATGGCGGTAAAAACATTACGGAGGTATCAAAGGAACAACCATACAAAAGTACAAAATGTGCTCTCTGTTCCTCCCTGTTCACAAGAGTAACCCTTTTCAGATGACCCCACCAGTCCCAGTTCACCAATAAGTGGAGATCTCTGAACTCCTGTCCATTCTGATTTTTCCATCCTGGTGTTTCCCTGACAACCAGAGGGACCATTTCAAGTAAAGTGTCTTTAATTTAACCTTCTCTGATTATGTGTATGCATTTAGAATTCTGTTGCCCTGTAGCTAAACAGTGACATCTTGACTAACATTTTTAAACTTCTTCATAGTTACCTATGTTTCTGGCGAGGCCAGGTCATGCCGTGCTGCTGCCCAGGAGACGAAACTGCACTTAAGGAGGGGTGAGATGAGAGCAATTGGGTTAGGTTTTCATGGTGAAGGAGGGTAGAAATGGGCAGACTTCACTGTCCAGAGCAGATGATAATACTGTTGCATATTGTTTGTTTTTTGGATTGAGTCAGTGTCTTACCAGCATCTCCACATCTCCAGTACTTGCTGAACCTCAGCACTTCAGCATCTTATACTACATTAGTGATGTGTGTGGGGGTCATGTCTAAGAGTTGTGAAACACATCACCATCCCTCACTTACTTACTGGGAAACTATCCATTAATAGACACCTAGGTGGACATTTTCTTTTAGTGTGTGCACTTGTTTAGGGCTTGATATATATGGCTTAGGAGTTTATTCCAGTATGCTTTTATCCTTTTCTGTTCAATTGACTTCTGTCATGTTAATTAAGTCCATTAGAGACCTGATTGGATTATTAGGCTCTCTAACACATGCACAGTCATGGATGTTGACATTCCATTAGTGATACTGGATCAAATTATTAATGTGTGGTGTTATAGCAGATCACATTACAATTTTACTTTAGTGTGCAGTCAGCTTTCTGGACATTAAAATCAAGTACACCCTGACTGTATTGCAATCCTTTTATATTTTCAAAAACCATTATTGTTTTATGTAGCTTTAATGCCAAGAGCCAAGAAGGCTGGCCAGCACCCAAGCAGAAGTGTATACATTAATGCGGACTGTGCATAGATTTCCAGCCAGACAGTTTAATGAATGGGGATGAGCATTTCTAGGCAGAGCTGATACAGTTGAAGTGCTACTCATATGGTCTCTAGGGAGCTGGCTGTTATACATGAGTAGACTCATTGTTCTTGTTTTTTACAGTAATATGTGAAGAAATGTTTTGTTTTGCTTGATGACATCAACTGCATTAAGTGTGTGTGTGTGTGTGTGTGTGTGTGTGTGTGTGTGTGTGTGTGTGTGGAAACAGCTAGGAGTATCGCATTGCTTACTTGCATTCCCACCTGTGTGTGTGTGTGTGTGTGTATAGCCAGCAGAGTGAGGACCAATTAGAATTTTAAACCATGGGATTTGGGGCTATTTTGGCAGTTTAGTCTTTGTTTTAGGGTCAATGTTAGAAATAGATGTTAGGCATTTAGTTGTAATGGTTAGGGTAAGGGGCTGGGGGTTGCACTACTGTATGTCAGTGAATGTCCTCACAAAGATACTATACAAACGAGTGTGTGTTTGTAACTCTTGCTGATCATGATTCTAGTTTCTGTGCAGGTGGAAGCAGTGGGTCCGGGACATACCTTTTGTCACCATCACTACACAAGCAGACTGGTGCAATACTCCCCTCAGGCTGCGTACAGGGGACATGCCTATACAGTGTGTGTGTGTGTGTGTGTGTGTGTGTGTGTGAGAGAGAGAGAGAGAGAGAGTACTAGAGAAAGGGCTGGTAATTGACCTATTTTTCAGGCTGTTCACTTGGATTGGGATGGAGAGAGACGATGGGCTTTTAACGATGCCACAGGAGAGATGTGCTTTGCCTCCTCTCCTGACAGCACTTCTACTGTTGCCACATCCACGGACATAACTGAGCTACTTGTAACTCCTCTGCATACTATAGTCAGTCATTTTTCAGTGCTACTCATACATTTAATTCACAGTTCACTTTTTTTTTTTCACCTTCTCTTTCTTTCTGGGTTTCTGTGTCTGAGGCGGTGCCCTCTGTCAGTGTGTCACACTTTATTGTATATAAGGATCGTCCCAGTCATGGTGCCTGGAGGAGGATGTTGAGGGGCTGAAGGTTGAAATATTCAGCGAATTAGCACCCAGGAGTGATGAGCAACAAGCCAAGAGTGTTAATAGTCTGACTCTCAGCGTCGAAGTGGGACTCTGGCATGTGGTTCTGATCAAATGAGATAACATTTAGCACTGTAGCCCAATAGTCTCTTGACATCAGTACTCTGTGTTTTATTTTATTAACATTGCATATGTGTTAGTCTATTAGCTGGTATTTATCAGTATTTAAACTTCTGACCCCAAAGGAGGTTTTATTTCTTTGTACCTCCTCCTCCTCCTCTCGCATCCAGTCCAAACCCTGCCCTCAGCCAAGCACAACAACTTTGTTCATTCAGTTTAATTTCCTCTGCTCTTTTCTATCTTGTCTCCCTGCTGCTGTTGCTCTACCTTCTCATGCTTATCACACTTATGCACTCATAGACGGACGCTGAGACATGCACACGTGTAAACCCACACCTACACACAGAGGTTTGCTTTAGAAATATTTTATTCGTTTGAAGTCTGTTCTTTTTCCTGCCCCCTCTCACTATCTTCCTCCATCCACCCCCTGAAAAGTGATGGTGGTTTCCATAGAAACGGCCTGTCTGTAGGAGAAAGGAAGTTTCCTTCCACAGACTAGAAATGATTCCGAGCGAAGGCAGGCACAAAAACAATGCGTACGTCCATTTTCAGAGCTCTTGATGAGCAATCAGTGAGTCCTTCAATCTGACTGTTTATTTTCAGTGAGCTGAAAGGTGTTGATTGAGCGATTCCAGCAGGAACAGGAATGAAGTATATTACAAATTGGACATTCAAATCAAATTGATTTTTTTTTTTTGGCACAAAAATGTTTGAGCATGAATTCCTAAAAATGAAATTTTATACTGCACTAAAGGATGGTTGATGGCAGGGGTTTGGGTTGCACTGGGTTACAAGTCATTTTGTAGTGATTTACTGTGCTGTAATTATCAGCAGCGCTGCTGGTTTTACATGCAGCTTTTTAGGATGAATACATTCATGCATGAAGTACATTTTAGTCACTGCATGGTGTCTCTTATTTCACAGTTTGACAACATGACTGGTTATTATGTGACAAATTTAGTTTTTCTGTATTTCTTTGTGGAGTTTTGTTTCCTGGCACCTTTGTGTCTGTCTCTCTGCACCGTGGTGCTTTTTCACATTCCAGAGGAATCTAGGTCAGGTGGACGAGAGACTGTAAATTGACTATTGTTGAGAGTGTGGATGTGTGTTCGGCATCTTCCACCTAATGCATGCACAGATCAATCCCAGAACGCTGTGCTCCGTGTATTTTGCTGTAACAATTGGCAGATTGAATGAATGAAGCTAAATGGAACATTTCTATCAGCCCTCACAGTCGCTCGGTTTGACATTTTCAGATTTTTTTTGCAAGAATTATTTATAAATTATTGCTCAAATACAGAATTTATCTACTTCATTTTGTGTGTGTGTGTAAACTACATATCCAGTCCTTTCATCTATCTGCAGAAGTTTTCTGACGGGGAATAATCCACTTTCCACTTGCATGTAAACACAATCTGTAATAACAACTTGCCTAATCAAAATAACTGAGGGACATCTGGCTAGTGATTATATATTTATACTTCCTGAACCTGTCTGCAGTGCAAACAATTCACAAGTCTTAACACATGATCTGTCTCCTGCATTAGCAGCTAGCCTGCACTCAGCCAACACAAAGCAGCGTCCTCAAACATTCCCAGTGTTTGGAACAGCCTGTGTTTACATCTGCTTTCTGCCACCATGTTGTTCTCCCTCCAGCTCATGTTCCTCTATCACTCAGTCTACTCACTGCTTTGCTAAATAATGTGAGCAAATATTTTGGTACTTTTACAGTCATAAAGAGCCACATTAGAAAATAATTTATTCCTGTTTAAACCCTCACCCTCCTGTCTTTGTTGCCTGTTTTCAGAATCAGAAACAGCTTTATTGGCCAGTGCAAAGTAAGAATTTCATTCTACACGTTCTATAAACACGTTTCCTAACTGTGCATATGACAAATAACAACTTTGACCTTGATGGGTGTCCTGTAGCAAGTGGTGTAGAGCTACATATAACAAGGTGGTGCCATAAGGTGGCGCAGTTTGATAACCTCAATTCTCTTCAGTGACTCCTCAAACTCCTCTTCTCCCTAAATTGCTTTTCACATGTAGTCCTGGTACACACATTCACAGCACACAGAGTATTTAAGCTGCACGGTCAGAATAATTTCAGCAGTAAATGATTAATATCAAGCTGTGACCAACTAGCAGGATTGGCAGTTTTTGCCAGGTCACCAAACTCAGTGCTCCTGGCCATGCAGATAGAATCCATCACAATGACCTTGCCAAGTTTGTGTATAGTGTGTGCTCCTTTTTTGTGCATGGTACAAATGTCTGTGTGCATCTAATAGCATATTTTTTTAATTCATCAGCTTTGATACTGTGGAGCTCGGGGCCAAGGATCTGCCTGCCTCTGTGAGGCGGTGAGAGATGGGGCTGAGCAGACCCACCCCAGACCTCTTCAGCCTCCCTGACGTACCCATTAGGGACACGTGCTTGCACTAATATTTCATCATATTTACCTCAGCATAGAAGATGTAAAACCTGTCCAACGCAAAATATCCTCCTTTTGCTGTGTTCTTCCCTGTAGTCTCTGTAATCTGACTGTAGTCGTGTAAACGGATTTCCATACATAGTTTAGAAAGAGTCCTGTTACAATAAAACATTGTTTAGACTGTGTACACTAAGTGTGATCATATCACAAAGAGAAGTGAGTAGTCTGGAGTGGGGAAATTTATTTTTTTATTGCAGTTTTTAATTTTTTTTATTGAATACCAGTCAATTCTTGTGTGTGAGCGTGTATGTGTCTTTGTGTATGGCATGTAGACGACAGAGTTTAAAGTTGTACATTAGTAAACACCTGCTGATGTGTCCTTGACACTCAGACTACCCGTAGCTGTGGAGAGGCTTTAGACTGGGGCAACATTTTTTTCCTCAAGGGCTTATGAAATTCTAACAGTCAAATTGAACCGGTAGTGAAGAGTCTGTCATAACCACTGTGTGTTGACTTGTGTACCAGATGCCAACTGTCCAACAAACCACGCTGTGTGTCAGTGTGCGACACGACATGGCTTATTGCTGTTGACTCCCAGCGGGTGCCGACAAGTGGCCCAGACACTGGCTTCGCTCTACTGGAGGTTGTCGCCATGGAGAAGAGTGAGGTCAGTTAATTGTAAACTGGATACTAATTATGTGTAGTGGCTATGTCCTTTGCAAATGAAAAACTTGCACAAACAAAATGCTAAGGTCTCTCCACTGTGGTTTTTGCTTCCGTCCAGGGTTTTGTCCCTGTACAGTGTTGGGGGGCCAAGTCAGCCTATGTTCCCTATGTCATAGGGTATTGTTCCAGGACAACCCTGGACAATAGTTTCACATTTGTGCAGCTGTCTTTGTGAGGACTGTCAGCGACATAATGCATTCTTTAGCCCCTTAACCTAATTCTAACCTTAACCCGAAAACCAAGTTTTCAGGTTTCAAACAGCCCTTTGAAGGTGGTGAGAAAATGAGGACTGGCCAAAGTGTCCTCATTCCCATGGTCTTGAAACTCAATGGCCCTGACAGTGTATAGTCCTGCAAGTACAAACACACACACACACACTCCCTCAGGCCCATATCCTTCCTCTTCACTGCACACTCTTGTAACCTCTCCACTGTTTGTTTCTTTAGTCTCTCTTTCTCATCAGTCCTCTTTCACATCACTTTTTCATTCTGCAGTGTTTGTGTTGCTGGAGTTAGAGCTGGGATGTGAGATCAGCACTCTAAAACCTCATCTGTCCACTGCTCAGAATGACTTCTCTGCCCTTTGCTATCGATCCTCCTGTCCCAGTCTGCACATGCAGCAAATCAGTTAATTTCCCAGGTCAGTAAGGTGTTTCCTCGAGTGTTTCAGGGTTACCCTAAAGTGTGCTGGGGCAGTGGTGGTCTTCTTAATGTGCATCTGTCAGCTTTATGCACTCTATCAAAGGGGAAAGCTAAGACTAACATGGACTTTAGCACCCCCTGCCTACAGCTTAACATTTTACAGTTAGTGCTATGATCACATAATCTTTATATTTGGCATAGTATGGTTTAACTAACAAAGTGCAGTCTCTCTTTGTCAGTCCCAGCGGGTGCATATAGATGTCAAGTGTCTGTCCACCACCACAGATTTGTGATTTTCAGCTGCTCGTCACCATCCCATCCACCTGTTCTCTCTCCACAGGGTCCATCACAGCTGATCTCAAACATACCAGACACTGCCCTACCTGTTGGGATTCCACTGTTCTGGCCAGCCCTCGGCCCGGGGTGGATCTTGTGGGGATGGCTGCCAAGGACATGCACTTATCTCTCAAGGTGTGTTCCACACAAATATACACAGGCAAACACATACACACAGCCTTTTAAAAACTCTTTAATAAGCCTTAGACTGTATTTAGTCTTACAAGTGCGTAAAAGCAAATTCAATTACTGAACATGAAATCTGTGCATTTAGAGCGTTGACATGAATTTATTCCATTTACTGACAGTCTGGGGGCCTTTATCAGCTGATATTCTCTGTAGACGTCTCATTTTGATAGTTGAAATAAAAGGTTCACTTTAGTTAAGAGTCAATGTCAATGTTAAAATTCAACTTGGTATCGTCCGCTGAGAGTTCTGACCCATAGTAACCTAATGCCTTTTAACCTAATACGTGATTTAAGTCACACTTGTGTTAAGAGAAAGACGAGAAGTGGGAGTAGAGATGACAAGCAACTTGACTATTAGTACACCAACTAATAAATGATGCTAAGTGTTTGCATTAAACAAATTGGTTTCAAATAATCTATCAATAATAGGAAATAATGTATAGTCCAAAGAAACTGTTGCCAAAAATCACTGGACACTCACCTGCACTCAGGTAGTGCATAGATTTCTTGGTCAGGTTTTAGGCTTGTGATACAGTAACTGTCCTAAAACTGCTCCCTAATCTTGTCATTCCTAAGGTAATCTGTTGGAGTAAACAATCTAAGTTGCATACTAAGTGGTGGCTGTAATTAAGGTGTATTAAGAAAAACCGAGTACATTAAATTGGATGTAGTACATCATCCTGCCTTAGCCATTAACCAGGAAGCACATCAGAATCACATTTTCCATGATTTTATTTGAAAGCCACATCCAGTATACAAGCAAGAAATTTAGTGTCAGTCACCATAGTAACAAAGTTAGTCTCTCTGATTTGTCTGTACTGTCACAGACTCTGCAAATGGCCCACAAGCATAATAAAAGCTTTGCGCTGACTGTAGGTTACAAATCTTACATTAGTTTGACTCCTCAAGCCATCCCCAATCTTCCCAGTGATTTTTGTGTGTGTGTGTGTGTGTGTGTGTGTCTGTAATTTCACATGAATTCATCCCACATATCGTTTTCACAGGAAGCTTGCAAGCACATGTAAATTCAGAAGTAATGTTCATTAAGTCGTTTCACTGTGACATCACTGTGTAGTTTGTGGTTTTACAAGCAACAGGAAACGAAGCACAGCCAACGATGCCTTTCCTTCAATCGACCCTCATTCCGAGTGAGCGAGCAGACTGGGTCCTGGTGCCACTGGCTTTGGAGCAGGGGCTGATGGCATCATTGCCCATGTACCTTAAACACTGACCTCACTGTGGCATCAACTTAGAAAGTGTATCTGAATTGTGTGGATTTATTGTTAACTAACACAATCGATACTCAATTATGCAGAGTGCAGCTTTTACATTGTAAAATTTAGCAGTCAAGGACAGTTTCTTGGATGTAATCTGAATTTTCAGCCACAGTTAATGTCCCATCTTCCTAGAACTGGTTCTGCAAGGTTCACCTCCTCGCCCTGTAAAATATTTGTGCTTAATTATCGAAGCGGGTAAGGCAAGCAAAGGATAGCTGCCACAAAAAACTGCTTAGGCCACAAATCTCTTGTTGAAAGTCCAGATCTTTACCAGCTTTTTTTTTTTTTTTTTTTTTTTACGGTCCTGAGCTGACACATAACAGAAACTTTGAGATAAAGAGAACCAGATGACAAACATGCGGCACTATTTTACCAAAATGAAAACACCCTTCAGTATATGAACAGAGAAAAAGCAATAGTGGTGCTGGTGGGGTCTAAACGGGGCCAAGCATTTTTGTGCATATTCTACATGATTCGAACTCGAGCTCTTCACTCCCTGTTCGCTGCATCAGCTCCCTGGCAGTGTTACTTCATAACCATCAAGTCCTGTTCATTCTTCTCAAGTGTCCAACCTCTCTGGTCAAACTAGTGCTGTTTCCTCCTGAATGAGCATCCTGGGGAAAGGTGCAGAAAAGAATGCAATTAAATATTTACTCAAATCCAACTCGGTTATGGCTCAGAGTGTGTCGGCTGTTTCAGAGAGATTCACCTTTGTGCTGCTGCTAACTGTATTGTAACTAATATTTTACCTACCCTGTTTTATATCATATTGATCTACACACAATACTTCAGTGACAAAGCAGAAACAGGTTTTTGGAGTGTTTTATTTTATAAAGAATAAAAGACTGAAATATCCCATTTACATAAGCATTCAGTGTTGGCTGTGCACCAGCGCTTCCACTCCAACCTGACTGACCTTGAACTACTCTGAGTACTTATGTAAATGGGATATTTCAGTCTTCTATTTTGAATAGATTTACAAAACACTCCAAAAACTTGCTTTTCCTTTATCATGGAAGTTTTGTGTGTAGACCAATGAGAAAAGAAACTAATTGAATGCACTTTTAGATAAATCTGAAACTGAATGTGAAAAATTTGCAAGGGTCTACATAATTTGATTCGACTGTATAAAACTCAGCATTTTTGAAATAGTTTTAAGTGAAAAATATCTGAAATGCCCATCGTTTCTGCTAATGTTGTCAATCAGGTTACTATCACATTATTAGCTTGGCACTGGTTGGGTTCACACAGTTCAGTTACTAAAGATTTTTTGAATATTTGGTATTTAACAGTATCAACACTGTACATCCTCCAAATCACCATAAAGTTGGATCAACACTTCTCTAAAGCTGTTTAAGGCCGAGAGATGCAACTAAAAAAACACCAACAACAGTAGTAAGCAGACTTTGAATTGTTGGTGGTTGTTTTTGTAAACTACTACTGAGGTTGAAACTGATTATATCATCCTCAAAACTTCAAAAATTTCACAACTGGATACCCTAACCTGTATGACGACAGGCCTTGTTGCTAGGCTGCTGTATTTTAGCTGTGAACTGGCTTGTGTGTACATGTACTCAGTAGACGTGGCTGGTTTGCACTGTAAACAATCGTCAATGGGAATTAACAGTACAAAGTCTGGCAGTGCAGCAGGGAGGGTGTAAAAACTGACTGGCCAGAATATAACAGATAAAGAGGTTACTAAAATTTAAGTTGCCAACTGCCTGTTCAAAGACCACATCACCTCTAAACAAGTGTAATTCTGGTGCCAAAGGTTACGGGCTGCTCCCAGAGTAACAGCAAGCAACTCGTGGTTACCAGAACAGTAGAGCAATGGATAGAGTGGCTGGGGCAAAAACAAACCCTGACCTTAAGCTCAAACACGTCACTAACATACCATGTACATTATCGCTTTTTCAATGTACTCGACTGGTGAAATAATCCTCATCCATCCTGTGTCAGAAGTGACAGATGGTGTGCCATGCTAATTAAAAACCATGGTGCATTTGTGCTTGCAGCCAATTGTGTAGAAAAAGCTCAATGATGAAGAATTTCTACCACAACCACAAGAGTCACTGTATGCCTTAGTTGACACCCTATTCATTAAGAACACAATGAAAGGGCAACACAAAGGCAAATAATCCAACATTAGAAGTGCACTGGACAGTGAAGCTGTGCAACCCTGACCCGACAGACCCAGGCAGGATATTGGGTTTTGGGACATTCTGTTATTAATAGATGTCAGTTTTTCTCTCTCTAATAGAGCCGACTGTCATGACCAGTGTAATTAAATGTGCAGTTTCTTGCTCTTAAAGTGTAAAAACTAATTAACAGATTAAAACATTTTTATAAAGAGCCCTTCTACAATAGCGGGTTTCAAGATTAGCTAATGATGCATGCTTTGATCATTTCAGCGACGCAACATCCTAACCAAAAATTTGCAGTTAATCAAATTCCCAAAAACCACATAACATGTAGCACACCTGGGGTTTTTTTTTTTCTTGGTAAGAGTACCTGGGGTCTGCCGTCTCATGCCAGTTGCCCTGTTATTAATCCAGCTGTATTTAGCTTTTTAGCCTGGCAAACTAACAGTCAGTACTGGATGAAATAAAGCAAATAAAGCTTTGGGTCAGGTCCAGGTTTCACCCAGTGGGTCTTAAAGACAGATAGGAGCTGGATCTCAGTTTTGGGCCAGTGTCCAAGTGAACATGTTTCCTCGTGTCATGCAGTATTAAACTGCAGCTTCACAGGGACCAAACACTCACTATTACATAATCTACCAGGACATGGGCAACACCTACACAAAAACAGACTACAAAAAAAAGTTTGTACTGTAACTGAGACACACCTACTGCACTGTACCTAGCAATACACATTTTAAGTTTTTTTATATATGGATTTTCATTGCTGAAGCAAAGGCAGACATGGTTTCATCATCATAAAAACTGGCTGTGAATGTCCTGTACCTTCTGTCAGGCGAGCTTTCCCTCCTGTTGGCTGACAGAGGACGGTGGAACAGCCCACACACAGCACTACGGTCTGAGCGTGACTGAACACTGTGGTGATCTTGTAGCAACCTGCAAACCACACACACACACAGCCATTTAATGGGACACCATGAAACAGGTTCACAAACCGCCAGCTGCCAAGCAGCTCACAATCATTACATAATGAAATGTACTCTGTATCACTGGTGTGTCCTTGCAGCTGTTTGTGTAAAGGAGTCACCCGATGCTCGTTTCACAGACAGCCACAAGTGTCACTGTGCGCCTTATCTGACACCCCAGTCACTGAGGAAACAATGAAGGGGCAACACACAAAGGCAAAAGGTTTTTAGATCACTCTAATGTACTGCTGCTATTGGAGAAGTACTCAAAACGTACTTTAAAATGATTCAAATCAATCACTACAATAATATAGAAGACTTGCATTCTGTGTTTACACATACTAATGTAAAATAAGTAATACATGCTGTAGCAATTACTTAAAAAGAAAATAAGCAACTATTTAGATAATCATTAAAGTACTTTATATGCAAAAAGTAATGCTGCCTTTCTTTTTTTATACCTGCAGATTAACTGATACTGGACATAAGCGTTAGTTACAAATCTAAAATAAACTAGTATTAAAAATGACACTTACCTACATTTCCTTCATTGCTAATGCACATGTACAACAGTACACTACCATTCAAAAATGTGGGGTCACCTCACTTTGTCTATTTGTCATGAGTGTAATTCAACAGCCGGACACACTTGCACCATTCTTTCTACAACTATTGTTCAGATAGACAGCACTAGTACAGAGGTTCCCACAAACGTGCTGCTTTGCTTTCACTTTTTATTTGGAAACTCTCTGGACAGTGTGCTGTTGTTCTATCATTTGAAGCCAACTGCCTTGATCTTTTCTTCTACACAGCCTGGGGGTGTTTTTTGGAGCCATTATCCTGCTATAGGATAAAACCCAGAAAAGCTCTGACTTCTGCTCATAATTGCCTTTTTCTAAATAAAGCTTCAGAGGGTGTAGTAACACCGTCTTTTCCAGCACACACTTTGTACAGACAGTACAGATAGAATCTAAATAAGAAGCCAACACAAGTTGGAACATGGGTATGACACATTTTCAAGGCTTAATGTGACATTTGAGTTTATTTACTGGATTTGAAGTGTTTAAAAGAAAGAAAAACTGGAAAAATAGAAGTCACTTCAAACTTCTGAAAAGTAGTGTACATTTTAGCCTAAAATGCAAAAGTGACAGTAGTGGGGTAAATGTACCTAATTATTTTTACTCTTTTGTTTTCCCCACTACCTAAATGATCCGTTTATCAGCTCAGCCTGGGGGCTCTTGGCCAAGCAGCGAACAAACTGACCTGGACATTTGACATCCATAAAATACGAATTGGGACTCTGTACGAGCCGTTTCTTCTTGTGCCTCCTCTTCTCCTCCTCGGGGGTTGGGTGCAACAGATCCTTTGCAAGCTGCAAGAATATGGAAATCCACAGAGAGTTCAGCTGAATACACGTCAACACTACATTTAAAATTATCCCTGGATTCCTAAAATCTGTGTAGCATAATGAAAGCACGTACGAGTTATGGCCCACTTTACAACATGATACAAGTTTCGATCACTTTACTGTTTTCAAATGCGAGGAGACGTCACAAAAATAAAAGTGAAACTCACAGGAATATACGGACTAAATATTATTTTAGATAGCTCACGGTAATTGCATTCAGATTAAAAACTGAGATATCTTAGAAAGTTTAGCTCCATCCCTTTGAAGCCAACATGTGACTGGTGGCCAGAAACAAATGCGCTAGCAGCTTAAAACAGTCGCTATCAAATCACTATCGGTCACAACTTACAAACCTTAAGATTTCGCTTAAATCACAACAGAACCAGCAAGGTTTGGCCTTCTCCAACCGGGATGCTGATATTTAATGCACTAAATGTGATTTTAAGCTTTATTATTTAGTGTCTACTTCCAGAGAACTGCGTGTTGCTTCGCCGTACACGTGTTTCGCCATATTGCGTCCGTTTTCGCGTCTTTACATTTTCATTACAACCACACCAAAGCGCTCCCCGCAACATATGCAGTACACTAATCTATGCTGTCCCTAGGATATCGAACTGTCGCCAGAAAAACACTTTTAACAGCTGGATGGCAACTATAAAAACCGTAGTGCTACTTACAGGCATGTCTGCGTGTTTGGACGGTGACCGGAAAACCCCTTTGCAGCGACGCACCGGAAACTGTTGACAGACTGAAAGACCCGAAGAAGAAAACGTCCACAATTAAACACGCACAAAGATGATTTCTGGTTTGTGTGTGTTTACATTCAGTTACCCGTAAGTTTCGATTTCCACCAAAGTCCAGTGGAGCCTAAATACAAATAGAAGCCTATAATAAATAACATAAATATAGTAATGTTAGGCCTAAATACTGCTGGTTATACAAAACCAAATACAGATTTTCAAGATTTTTTTTAGAATGAATTAATTTTATTACATTTTCGTGTGTTGGTTGTCCAGTTATATTATTATTATTATTATTATTATTATTATTGCTTCTTGTTATTGTCATAGCATCATTTCTTATTGAATTTGAGCTAAGTCCCTTTTTGTTGTTTTGTATGCTAAGCATTACAAATCTTTTGAGTTATGAGTTTCTGAAGTCTGGAAAACAGTCATATGTATAAAATAAAGCTAGTAATATACTAATAGACCATGGAGGAAGTAATGAAGCACATTTGCTCAAGTACATTTACTTAAGTACAGTTTTCAGGTATCTGTTGAGTGTTTTCCTCTTCTGATACTTCATAGCCTACTTCATTACTGCATTTCAGAGGTAAGTGCTGTTCTTTTTACTCCACTATATATTTATGATAACTTTTCAGAATCATATTAATAAAACGAATATAGTCTTATCATAATAAGTATGTTAGGTAATTTGTTCCCCCTTTACAGTGATGAACACAGGGCATCTGTTATGGTAAATGGTAAATGTTATTATAATCCAATAATGTGGTAGCCTATACATTAATGTGAAATATGCCATTCTGCAAAATTTTTATATATTGTGATGCTAATATTATTGTACTTTTCGTTGTATGCAGTACTTTTACTTGTAAGAGAGTATTTTTGCACCATGGTATTTTCCTCAAGTACACAACCTGAGTAGGACTACGTCTTCCACCACTGCTAATAGATAAAATATTTGTGTGGTGTCTACGCATGGTATGTTTATTTACTGTGCATACAGTGCATCTACATTTATTTTTCATGCTGTAAATGCACAGAATGTGATACTGGCTGTATGACTTTCTTTATCCATAGCCTACTAATCAGCCTCCTTGCTGATGTGACTTTTTTCCTGCATGGAATCAAAATGATCTATTGGTTTAATGAAGAAAGCAGTTTAATATTTTTGGACATTTGACAAGTGTTTAATATTTTTGTTTAATATATTGTAAATTAAATGTAGGCTATTTTTAAAGTTGTTTTTTTTTTAGTAAAACGGTCAGTATCTTGAAAGTATAGAGCCAACTCCTACGCCAGAAAAAAGTAGCGCCCTCGTTTTCTCATCAAACGGTGACACCTAGTGGTCCTCCTGGGTCCTGCATGTCCGAGCCATTGCTCCCATGAAGCACTCCCACACTACGTAGCCTGTCAGTTTTTCTAGAGGCAGAAGAAACACGTAGCCATTCGGGTATGTTTGTAAACGGAGATTCAGTATTAACTCTTGGAGGACAGTAAGATGACTCTCGGATATACTTGGTGGTGAGTGCTGATCTGCAATTGTTACTTCAACTTCGCATGGAGTGTAACTGTTTCTTTATTCAGCACAGTCCGAACAGAGCACTGAGGGGGGTCGGAATTTACCGGTGACAAGTCCGGGAGGGAAAAAGAAAAAGAGGATCCGCTCGCTACATGGAGCAACTTCTTTTTTAAAGCCTGCTTCATTTTAGTCACTAGAAAGGAAATCAAAACTTAAAGCCTGAAGTCGATGAAAAGGGTCTTCAGTGAAAGGACATCCCCAGATTTTCCCCTCCGAGTGCTTTAACCCTGAAGAACAGCTCCAGCTATGGCGAAAAAGTACGATTTTCTTTTCAAACTGTTACTCATCGGGGACAGCGGCGTGGGCAAAACGTGCCTGATCATTCGTTTTGCCGAGGACAATTTCAACTCCACATACATTTCAACCATTGGTAAGTTGTGACGCTGTCGTCTTATAATTTACATTTCTGCACCAGGGGCCTATCTGAAACTTGGAGTGAGTATAATAAATGGTTCCCGAACGCTGACATTTCATTCTTTTTCTTTTTGAAGCCTGACACTGTACAAACTGGTTTCTCAGACTGTGTTCATGTCTCAACTAGTCTGTTCTCTTTCATTTCTCCTTCTCTTTCCATTCTCTATTATGCCCCCTCCCGCCCTGCGTTGAATGTGTGCAGTCTGTACCCTGACCCTCTCCCCCATCTCTCTCAGATCTCATTCCTCTGGCTTAGCTCTCAGAAGGTCCACCCACCCTCATTCCTATCTCTTTTACCATCTCTACGTTCTCAGAAGAATGGTGTTTTTGCACAGGGCAGCCCCATCCTCTGCCCCCTGGCTCTCAGTTTGCCCATCCAGCAAGAAAACCAAAACTCAAAGGCATTATGCTGTACAGGCCTGCACATATTTCCCTTGTTTTTGTCTGTGAATGGGAAGTCACTGAGGGGTCAGAATCACAGTGGAAATGACCATGGATTAGTCTCCACCCGTGAGGGTGACCTATATAGCCTGCAGTGTGGGAGTGTTTTTAGTTCATATCTGAGGTATTTCACTCATTCTCTGTCCTCCTCTTGTATGCTCTTTCCTTTCCTTTTGTCTTTCAGGCATTGACTTTAAAGTAAAAACCATTGAAGTGGATGGAAAGAAGGTGAAACTGCAAGTCTGGTAAGAGATGACAGTTGGTTGCCTTGTTTTGTGATTTGTTGAAGTAGATTAACACTGATATGTTGAGCTTTCTTCTTCTGTTTTCTGCCTGCTTCTCACAACTTTCTGAGAGTAAAGAAGAGCTTCCCCTTGCTTATAACTTTAAGACAGGGTTTATTGTCCAACTATCTATCAGACATGGCCACCATAGAGTGCCATTACATGTAATAAAAGGGTGTTTTCTGTAAAAATTCACGTTAAATGCACGGTGTCCTGCATTCTGCTACATCTCCAACATTTATTTTAAAGTCCTTGTGATGTATGCATGCATCAGTGCAGGTTTATTGGCTTTGAATGTGTGTGCTTTGTGTAGGGACACAGCAGGGCAGGAGAGGTTCAAGACCATTACGACAGCCTACTACAGAGGAGCCATGGTAAAGCACAGGATGCCCACAGAGCAAACATAACTGGCTCTTTGTGTTCATTCTGTACCTTTCACCCTACATTCTTTCACTTTCACTCTTTTCTCTTTGTCAGGGCATCATCCTGGTGTATGACATCACAGACGAAAAGTCCTTCCAAAATATCCAGAACTGGATGAAGAGCATCAAAGAAGTGAGACTGTTTCCACTCAGCCATGGCAAATACATCCAGGAAATACTCAAAAATAGTGCTAAGCCAGACGGATCCGCCTTTGCGCACTGAAACAACAAAGTTATTGGCAATAGAGTCATTGCACAACTGGTGGTCAGTTCACAGGAATCATACAGAACATTTTTTATCCCCTTAACTTTCTTTCTACTGAATAAACAGCACCAGTGAAAACTGCATGCAGTGACATCTATGGACTATCCTGAGAATCTAGGACATGTTCTTTAAAAGTTTTTTGTTCATCTCCATAGTACTCCAGGGACAGCAAACATTTTAGAGGTGGATACTAAAGAATGCTGTTCACGTGTGTTCATTAGATTAATTAATATTGTTTCAACCAGGTATCATGTTTACCCGATGACTGTCTAAAGGTCAAAATGTTGCATACAGTCCTGTTGATAGTGAGCAAGATTCTTTGTTTTGGGGGGTTTTGTATGCTTTGTTTGTTTTCTCAGTCAGTAATATTGGATTTTAGGCATCTATCAGTGTGACTTTGTGGTGTACAAGAACTCAAAAAATATATCTCTCTCACCCTAAACAGACAAAAGTAAAACTCTCAGCACAGCCAAAGACCAGAAAGTGAGCCTTCCTTTAACTGGAAAGAGTTTTAGTTTTTAACATTTAAAAGTGCAAAGGTTGTTAAAGCTACAATCTGTAACTTTTTATCAAATGTTTTTGTTGTAGAAATCTGCTCCAAAACTTGTCTTAGTATGTAGAGGTGTTGTCGAAGCCTCCTGTGAGCCGGACTCAATGAACAGCGCTGGCAGCAGTGCAGAGATATTAGCTTCTAAAGGTTTTTGAGTGGGACTGACCTCTCTGACCAATCAGAGATTTTCAGTTATTTCTGGTTGATCAGTAAGTTTTGTTGCATTCTCATTTATTGTAATTTCACAACCACAAATATCTGAAGAGCTGATCAGAGCGTGGCGGAGCACAGCAGACTAGTAGAGCATACGGAGCAGGGAGAGGGAGCGCTGGGCGGAGCAGGGAGAGGGAGCGCTGGGCGGAGCAGAGTGGATTGCTTTGGAATAACATGCTAGTGCTACCTTAAGTTATATATTGTAGCTTTAACATAACTTTTTCTGACTAATTAAGTATTAGTATTTTATTTTTACTTTTCTGGTGGGACAAAACTATAATTGAGGACCATTTGAATGCACACAAATAACTTGCCCACCTGTACAGGCGTTACCCTACACTTATTTTATATTTATTGAATCATTTAATCACTGCTCTTCATTCACTTTAATTTCTTTATCTACATCTAACACCCTTACCTAACTGCACCTGAGCTTAACTTGGCCGAGTAAATTAATTGTGTTCCCCCTTTTCCCAGAATGCATCAGCTGGGGTCTGTCAGATGTTGCTCGGTAATAAGTGCGACATTGAGGCAAAGCGGAAAGTTTCCAAGGAGATGGGAGAAAAGGTGAGATGAGCCTAACAGAAACTTAATTACAGCTTGTGTATTGTATTAATCAGATTCTGTAAAAGTGTCAGTTTGAAGTAACAGCATCGTTAAAGTTGTACAGATCATTTAAGGAATTGTGGGTAAATGGACTGGTCATGGAAGATGTGCTGTAGGCTAAAAAAACAACAACAGAAACAGTCAAAGGCTTCACTGTGAGAAAGAAGAGGGAGTGATTATTTGTGGAAGGGACCGAGTGTGCCAGAAATGTTTTTGATAGACTTTTTTATGAATTTACTTTAGATAAGGAGCAGGAAGTGATTATTACCCGTATCCTGATGTACTATAACCAGTTCTGTGTCTGTTGTTGACAGCTGGCTAAAGATCACGGCATCAGATTCTTTGAGACCAGTGCAAAGTCCAGCATTAATGTTGAGGAGGTGAGCCAAAAAGAAGCCACGCGCTAACAAAACAGTGTCTTCATACCTCATTAAACTTGTGAGCATATGCTAGAAATGCTTTCATTTTCTGTTTTGTTTTATGTTTCCTATAGTCTTTTCTGGCTTTGGCACGAGATATATTACAGAAATCAAGCAAGAAACCAGTAAGTTATAGCAGACTTGTTATGGTGGATAACACCAAACTGAAGCATTTGTTCCTATGCATATAAGACTCTACTACATATGTCAGTACTTAGTTTTTGTCTTTCCTTGTTTGACAGGGTCCTGCAGGTCGAGAGGTGAAAATCACCAGCGGTACAGAAAAAAAATCCTCCAAGTGTGCTCTGCTTTAGATACAACACCGGCCAACACAAGCGCACGTCAGTATTACTGTGGAGAAATACACTGCAGCATGTTTTCTGTCTCCATCTGCTGGGCTCACATGTCAAATACATACAGGTTCTAAAAGTATGTTTTTACACCTAAACAATCTGTATTCTCTTGAAAACTGTTTGTACTTTTGTTCCCCAAGAATTGCCAGTTTATTTATGGATGACTCTTCTGAGGTAGTGGCTATATTTCACATTGAACGTATTATCTACTGCGATAATGACAGGAAAGGTTGATTGAGTCTTGGATGAACCTGAACAGAGCCCTGCTAGAACAGGTTCCTCCCATGTTTACTACAGCTATACATTTTTATTTCCCCCCTGCATTGCTCTGACCTCTCACCAAATTATGAACCCTTAAGTAGCACCGTTTATTCAGCAGTGTTTTAAAACTCTTTTCTGGACTGCTCTGTGAAATAAAACAAAGAACACCTCAGGTGAATGAAACCACGTCAGTCATTTCTCATGTGTCCACATGCTGTAACAGCTTGTGGGAGCTCAGCAGCACCATAGAGTGTGGATACCTGAACTGAGCCCGATGTGACCCATCAGCGCTCGAGGGTTTGGGCCGGGTTCAGACAGAAATTTAGGGATTATGTTTGCGTCAGTTTGGACACGTAGGTTAAACCTTGGGCTAGACAGCTGGAGCACTCAATGTCAGCTTCATTTAATAATAAGGGGGAAATCATCATATATACTCAACCGCGTTGGGCTCAGGTCAGGTTTGGGAATTACATACTATAAACTTGTTGGGTTCAGATGACACACTCTCAGGCACGGGCTGGGTTCAGACAGAAATATGCGGCTCGATCCATGCTCTGATTCACCAATAGTACATACCTGTACAGCATGCTCTCAGATGTAGTCTTTGACAAATGTTTTGTATGTTTGTTAAGAATATCAAGCAGAGATCTTGTGCATGGGCCCTTGACTGTTGCTTACTTCAGATGCTATAAAAAGTTTTGGCAGACATATTATAGATTGTGATCACATGAATAAAATGGCGGTATTGGTCTTTGTTTAGCAAAGCTTTTCATTTTTGTCAATTCACTATCTCCTATTCAGTGATTTGTATAATATTACATCAACAGCACAGACAAGGTGATATCCTATTCCTGCAGTGCCATATGAGAAACAGGGGTCACATTTTGATTGTCTGCATTTTTCATGGTGTACAAATATAAGTTGTCATGCAAAAGTCACTGTTCACATTAATGAGTTAAACAAATTCACGAGGGTTGTTTGTTCAAGCTTAAACAAACACTGGTGGTAAACGAGCTTTGTTTTAATGAATGGATGGACTGAGAATGTGGAAGATAGGAACAGAGATAAGTGTAATATGAGAAGATAATTAGAAAGATGAAGGATTGACAGATAATGCAGGTGAATGGACAGGATGTGAGTGCCTGGGAAGCAGCAGTGCTCCCATGCCCCTCATTTTGAATTGATTTAGTGGGTCTTGCCTTTTATCTGAAGTGCCTGGTTAATCTTTCACTAAACACTACCGCACTCCAGGCATACCAGACACCGCATGCTCGTCTGACCCTGAGTTTTTCCTGTTCACATTTACTGTATTTTGAGTATATAGTTTTTTCCCACGTTTCTTTCACATTCCATCTTTTTATACCTGCTACAAGACTTTGTATGTAGTTTACCAACCACCTCCTTGCTAAATAAAAATGCAAACCTGTATAAACAATTCATTGTATCATTGTGTTATAATTAGAGCTGGCAATTGACTGAGGCCCTTCTGTTTGCATGTCCTCACCACGCCTATGTGGGTTTTCTCCAGGTACTTCCTCTTACATGAGGTTAGGATGATTGGTGACTCTAATAAATTGCCTGTAGGTGTGAATGTGAGTGTGAAGCTTCTGTCTCTGTGTTAGCTCTGTGATGGACTGTCTCTGCCTCCGCCCAGTGCTGGCTGGCTCCAGCTCCTCTGCGACACTCTACAAGATAAGCAGTTTAGATGATGGATGGATGGACACATAGTTTTGAGCTTGGTGTATCTAATCAACTAAAGAGCTAAAAAATAAATAAGTCGTGCTGGAGGAGGATTTTCAACTATCTCAGAACCCAGATATGGTCTTATTCATGGCTTATAGTTGATTGATAAAGCATTATGATTTATTAACTTGTAATATAACAATGAAATACTGCCTATAAACCCTTCATGAATGGTGCCGTCTCAGAAAGTGGATGCGCTGGTTATTATACAGTTTAGACCAGGCAGGCACCTGTGGGACATTCATACTAGCATACAGCCGCCTTCTTTTTAACTACTATCCTCTCAATACAGTGTTAATACCGTTTGCCCCTTATTGCTGCAACGGCAAGAGCCGGAGCCCGTCGCCAAGCAACGGCCCCTCCTTCCCAGCATCAGCACCACGACGGTGTGTGCGCGTTCTGCCGCATCTTCAAGTTGCATGCACGTTCTGCGTGCCTTGTCATCACGTATAGGTTTCGGTTTGCAGGAACGATACATTTTCTCCCATGTCCGAGCTCTACTGAAGAACAGAGGAAAGGCGTGAGGGTGGCAGAGGGAGGGGCTATCAAAAGGAAGAATTAAAGATAAACTCGGGTGGATTTAAGAATGTTATCGGTATAGGTAGGATATCGGCTATGTTGTTTTGCTCATGTGACGTCTGGTGGGAGGCAGTGAGGTAAACGTCCGGGATACATATACACACACAAACACACGGGCTGAACGGGATGCCCGCGTGACTGCAGGGAGGAAAGAGGCGGCGGAGGAGGAGGAGTAGGAGGGGGGCCTAGGAGCGTGTAAACCACCGAAAAACCCCCGAGGTGGAGTTGTCAAAGATCGAAACCTGCGAGGAAGGATTCATTTTAGTCCATCTGCTGTTATGGTGCAGTTTGAAAATCGACTGAAGATATTTAATTCCCGTTCACGTCGAGGTAAATAGTCGCGAACGAACCGCTGTGATCTTGGAGCTCTGGTCCATCTTTTCCTTGACAGGATGAGGATCTAACATAAGGTGGCGAGAAGGGAGCGCACATGTTCGGATTGTGCTCCTCCTGGGTGAACACGGACTGACTGGCTCATGTCATCACTGCTGGGGCTGAGTCAACGACAGACCAGCTGCTTTCTTTGAGATGTTTAAGAATTTGCGGCCTGCTCAGGTCTCCGGTTACCGCAATGCCAGTGGTTAGAGGAGAGAGAGGTGGCAGGCAGAAGATGGAGAGGAGGGAGCATGAAAAAGCAAATGAGTATAACAATAATGTGAAGATTGCATCCAACTACCCCATTTGTGTTGTGTGATAATCAGAGAATGACTGAGCAGGAGAGTGGTACAGACCATACTATAGGCTATAGTGGCCTGTGAACTGCATGGGGTGAAAGAGACACTGCACTGGTTCTTAGTATCTTGGCTGAAAGCTCAAATGAGGCAAGTACGCAGGCTACCAGTGTTTAGAAATTGCTTTCTGTTCACTTTCTGCTGTCAAAGTTCTTGGTCTCACTGATCAGATTACAGTGTGCACCATGGAGCATTGCGGAGCACCTATGTCACCTGCCATTGGAGAGCTTGGTACATAATAGTGACAGAGTGCCAGCATTTATGACTCTTTCTCTTATGCTCTCCTGTGCTTCTACCCATATACCTGAGCTTTGCTTTGTGAAGCCAGAGTGAAATCTTTCCCAGCCGCCTCGACACACAGACAAGCCCAACATGCCTTCACCATCAGACTCTAGCAGCGTGGCTTCAGCCTCAGGGTCTCGAGGCTGGTCGGACAGCCGCAGGGGGATGTCGGGCCGTGCACCTGGTGGTGCACGCCTGCTCCTGTATCTGGGGCTATGCCACCTGGGCCTGGGGGCAATGGTTCTGGCCTTCTCTTTCACCAGCATGGCCTTCACCTCCTCAGCCCGCGTGAGGCAGTCCTGCCCATTTTGGGCTGGCTTCTTTGTAAGTGTAAATTTGACAACACACAGTGTTAACAATTGAACAAGCAATCTTAAAGAGTGTTTCCTATCATGTGTGCAATGTCTGTTTCTAGGTGGTGGCATCAGGAATAGTTGGAATAATCTCATGGAGGAGACCTCTGACATTGGTGGTGTGTACATTTCCAGCTGATAAAGGAGCATTCATGGCTAAACTATAGGTGTTGAACTGTGTGCGACTGAACAAGGCTGGAGTACCAACAGGGCAAAGAATTCCCCAGAGTCAGAGAAGCCCAGGTTTACTTTGTTTCAATCTGGCTGTGATTTGACATAGCCTATTGCAAATTTGATCCATAGCCTAATATGCACCATGATAAAAATAACAGATGGATGGTGATGATTGTTCCAGTGTTTTTGACCTCCATATTGGCTTAAAGGCTGAGATTCAAAGTTTATTCTTGACCTTGAAAAGTGAAAAGTAAAGGTATGTATATTTTGACCTAACCTAAAGGGCATTTGTAGAGTTTCTCTGCACCAAAGTTTAGCTGTAAAATGTTTTTAGACTTTCATATAAAACAGTACTTTTATACTGAGCTTACATTGTGCTTAATTTGAGTCAGTAAAGTCACTACAAACAAAACCCGCAACAAATTTGGGGATGGTTGATATCCTAGTGACACGGGGGCAAAAAGTGTACAGTTCATCCAGAAACACTTATCAGTTCCTCGTATCTGGCCAAAGATGTGTTAATCTGTTATATATCACCAGCTGTAGTCTTGGGTTAGAAAAACACTCTACACTCTCTAGGCCTTCTTTTAATGGCCTGCTCTAAATCAAACCTTGGCTCTGGGCTCCCCTACAGGTGTCACTGTTCATGCTGCTGTCTGCAGTCTGTGTGATCCTCAGCCTGGCCGGCTCAATGCTCTCCTGTCAGAATGCACAGATGGTCAAGTCCATGCTCACCTGCCAGGTACAGAACATTATGCAAGTGTTGTCTTAAGCCTCATGCTGAAATGCCTGTCTGGCCAGATGCTTGGGGAATGAGTCAGGGAATAGTTTTTAGTAGGGATGGGACAATATTGAAATTCAATACATTGTGATACAAAAATGTCACAATATGTATCACTTTAGTGTGCAGATCAGTACTCCACACTGATCAACTGTGTATGGGAATATGTGTAGGTGGACAATGGCCTGTGTGTATGCTGCACGCCCACTCAGTCCTGCTCCATCACAGAGGAGGAGACCCTGGTCCTCTACCTGAACGCTGACTGTCACTCACTCAGGCACCAGCTGACGGTGGGTAGGATGTGTCTCATCTAGAGTGCAGTGGATACCCTAATGGAACATAGCATTAACTAAATGGCCTAAAAAATACTTATGTGTTTATTTCTCTGCAGGACCTTTTGTTCAGTGCTTGTGGTCTCAGCATTCTCTCCACCATCATCTGTACTCTGTCCACTGTGACCTGCAGTATCCACATATTCTCCCTGGACCTTGTGCACCTGGTGAGCACAGCCACAGCACATTTTGCATTTATCAGACTGGCTCTGCAAATTAAATATTCTGCTGGTTTAAGAGGTTAGGATTTAAAAACACATGATACAAAGTTATAGCCTATAACTACTTATCTGTTCTGTGGTTGTGAATTATGCCCCCCTCTCCCTGTCTAGCTGGCCCCACACCGTTCTCGTTCAGTTAACCCCGAATGCACCACTCCTCAGGATGCCTTCCTAACCAACATCATGGACTTTGAGGAGTTTGTCCCACCCATCCCTCCACCCCCTTACTATCCTCCTGAGTACACCTGCAGCTCTGAGACAGATGCTCAGAGGTACCACATATAAAAAAAACAGACATATGAGCATCCTAATGGAATACAGAGTGACCCCAAGAAAATTATTGTTGTTATTTTTGTATTAACATTTAGCATCACCTATAATGGCTCAATGGAGAGCCCCGTTCCCCTGTATCCCACTGACTGCCCCCCTCCTTATGAAGCTGTGATGGGACAGAGAGCTGCCAGCCAGGTGAGCATGTGTGTATGGACCTGTGATATCTATGTGTGTGTGTGTGTTTGTTCAGCATAACATACATGGCTGCCATGCTGACCTTTGTCTACTGTGACTATCAAGGCAACAATGTTCGACCCGCATGGCACTGAGCTGTCTGGAGAGAGAGGAACTTCTACTGGCTTCAGTGGAGAAGGTGAGAAAACACATCTTGCTACAGAGTCACTAGTTGAAAGGAGGAGTGGCACTTTTGGTGATATGATTAACTCAGGATAATGCATTTAACTTTAATAATTAGTTGATTGTAAACAAACCAATAATATAATAATAATATCAATTATTTAATGCTTTTCTTTACTTTATGTTATTGTTAATTTATTATTTCAGTGAAGTCTTGGTCAAACAAAACAAAAACTTTAGCCTTGAGCCAGCGTTGTTGTTGAGTCTCTAAACCTCAAGTTTGAGTTGAGTCTCGAATCCCCAGTGTTCGAGTCTGTGTCAAGTCCGAGTCACCAAAGATAGTCCGGGTTGAGTCCCCTTTACCCAAATCCAAGTCATTTATATTATACTGTAAATGTCTTTTCAAATGGGATGTTGAAAAATATGAGCCTGGCAAAAATAATGTTATTGTGATAATAATTTGATTGGATAGTTGGTTAGATGTTAGTTGTTAGGTTGAACAAATATAAGTACAAGAACAGAAGGCAAGTCTTAACATGGACTTTACATGTCACACATCAGTATGTATTTCAAATACAGGGTTTAAATTTTGGTCTTCATAATAAATTAATGTTTTTTTTACTAGTGTCTATGGACAGTGGATCTCTGTTGATGTCAGAGATTGTGGACATCCCTGATGATTCTTCCCCATCAGAGGACTCATGTCTGCTGGAGGTTGGGCTAAGGAACCAGGGGGAGAGGGACAACAGGAACACTGGTGAAAGGGGAGATGGGGGTGATGGAGGGGAACACATCAGCTACTATGGTCCTCGGTCTCAGACACCAGAGAGTCCTCTGGCAGGAGGACCAAGAGCCAGGCGCTTCCTCAGAGGAGAGAGGTCCAACTCCTGCTCTTCACCCAGCACAGCCACCACAACATACAGGTGAGACCTGCACACACACACACACACACACACACACACACAGTATGGCATGGTGTAGAGATATGAACTGTTTATTCAAGTGCAGTATTATTGAAATGTAAACTACTTTTTTATGTTAAAATCCAGGTTAAATCCAAACTTAACCCTGTAACTAGCACAACCAGAAATATTATTTTGTCGTCTCCTGTGTCGTCCTGCAGGTCCCCAGTACTACGTCGCCAGGCCATGTTAGCTAGTAGTAGTTGTTCCCAGCTGGAAGCAATTGTGGCCTCCAACTCTCAACAACGATCTTCAATCCCCGAGATTCGAGTTCGCCCCTCCACTCCCTCAGCTGTTCCTCCCACTTCATTCTCCTCAGCTGCTCGTGATCAAGGAGGTGGTCAAGGTAATGGGCTGCCCCTCCCACAACAGCCACTGAGCCTCTGTCGAAGGGGAGGGATGAGTGAGAAAAATGGAGAAAGCGTAAGAAGGGACAGTGAGGGGTTCTTACGTCTTGTGAGGTCACACAGTGAGCCAGGCATTGGCTCCTCCACTGATACAGGTGATTCAGATGTCAACATGAATACATCTCTTACATTAAGTTTACAGTTTCCATAATCTAACTTTTGTCCCCTCTTCTCCAGTTGACTTTGGCTCTAGAAGCAGTAAGGCATCTACAGACACAGGTAAGAGCTTTTAAGTAAAGGGCTTTAACATGTGATGGTCTAAAATATAGAAAATGTTCTATTTAAATCTGACTCAAAACCTTTGCTGCATGCTGTCACTGCCTCTCCCTTTTTTCCTGTCTGTATTCATTATAGATTGCCTAATCAAAGAAAACGTGTTTAAATTGTTTTGATAAGATATACCTCAATACATTTGTAGCCAATGGCCACCCTATTAGACACTGGTGCAGATTTAAGGACCAGAGGAGACATACAAATCTGTTTTCATTTAGATGTTATTTACTCTATGAAACTCTTAAACAACATCTAAATTAGCAGTGATTTGATTACTGCCATAATGTGCCTCACCAGCTCTTCATTTACATTATTGTCAGATGGCACAGTGTAATTTTAAATGTTTGTCTACACATTAGAAATGCTGCCACAGCAAAGTCTGCACACAGTATCTGACATGCAGTATGTAATGAACATAGAAAAAGATAAGGTACAGTATGGTTACACTGTAGAAGTTACCCTAAATGTTTGTATGAACATGAGGAAAATTCATCAATAATTTCAATATGGTTCCAAAGCCTTTCTCATTTTTTCTGACTCCATATGTGAAAGGTCCATCCTCTGAGGCATGTTTGTTGCCTCGGACCTCTTCGCCTCCTGCTGCAGCTTTGCCCAGGAAATGCAGCATGAAATCAGTAGCCACAGGGGTGCAGGTGCCCCCTAAACCCCCACCCACCTCACCACTGCGTATACCTAAAGACTGCCACCGTTCCCTCGGAGACCTTAAGGCAAGTCTGGAATTGATGACAGTTCCCCTATGTCTTAGCAACAGCTGTACTATTGCTCATTTCTTTTATTCCAGACTCCCTTATTCCCCTACACTTATCTTTTTTTTTTTCTCTACTTCAGGTGACTCGAGTTCTGGTGGCTCGTTTCCTGCAGCGCTCCAAACGCAACTTGGCTCCCTCCTCAGAGCATCCTGGGAGCATGGGACAGGGGCCTAAGAGACGTAGTGGAGCTGATGGTGCTGCCACAAACCACCTACCCATGGAGCAAGTATGACAATGAGCTCAGATGTAAAACATTATTTTGCTCCTGTACTAACTTTCTACAATGAGCTACGCACATCTCCAGTTCTGTACATCAGAATCAAGCTGTCTAGTGTTCAGCTGTCTAGTCTAAACTTGTGCTTGATAAAATCATCTTCAGGTGTTGCGGACCGCTTGGGGCACCAGCCGAGGGCACCCCAATCATCACTCTCGTCCTCATCATCGTGGACACCACCATTCTCATAGTGACAGTCGACACAACCGGCACTACAGTGAGCGGGCACCAGAGGGGATCCACCTGCGCAGCTGTGGAGATTTAAGCTCCTCGTCCTCAGCTTCACTACGTCGATTAATGACGCCTCATCCGCCGCATGGATCTGCGGGAGCTCTCTACTCAGAGTCTGTGCTGTAAAGAGAAAAGGAGGGTGAAGAAAGGATTGGGGAGGAAAACAGGAGGCATACAATTTAGTAAGGTGGTAAGGGGCAAAAAGCATGCTGATGAAACAGAGTAGTATTGAAATTTTCAAAGTTTTCCCTCCTTTTTCTCTTTGTCACCTCTGTTTCCTAAAGCCAACAGTGCACATGGCCTTATTCAGTGGTGCTCTTTATCACTCTTATCTTCATCCCAGAGCTCACACTTATTTCACTGTTCAAAATCAGTGAAACTGTTTCCTGATTCTTTCTGGCCAGTGTGGTATTTCCACCAACAGAACAAGTCCAACATTGGCTGAGACCATCCTACTAGAACCATCTTTTCTGCTGTATTCTCCTCTTCTTCCCACTCAGTACTCCTCTGGAAACATCTTCTCAGCAACTCTGGAGACAGAACTCCACTATCCATACTACAGCAACCACTTAATCACATGTACATTCAACCTATTACATAAATATGGGTTGCAACATGCTTGGGGGCTCATTTTGTACATTTTGCTATTTACCCACGGGATCGCTCAGGTGATGTGATCATGGAAGCCCTTATTTTGTCTTCCACTTCCAAAAAAATGCATCTCAATTAGGGTTGCAGCGGTACAGCAGTTTTATGATATACTATGGTATGAAAATTGATGTTTATCCTACCATGCATAATTGAGGGTACAGGCAGGATCAGTCTGGTTGCGCTGTTGTGCACCTACAATTAACTTAACAAGTATTTTGATAATCGTTTATAACATTGTGAAGGCACATCTCACAAGTTGATTAATGGAGAAAAACTCAGCAGTTTAATCCCTAATGAAAATAATCAATAGTTGCACTTGGATACAAAGTAGTGCAGAAGAGCTGCACCTCAACCAACTACAACATTAAAGCCCACTTTAACATCAATGTATGAGTGATATGCTATTAATTTAATGATATAATATATAACAGTATATGATATATAGTAAAGCATTTTTCTACAATGAGTGGCCTACTTATACTTTTAATACCTTAAGTACATTTTCATGATACGTTAACTTAACATTTTCAGTGCTGGACTTTTTCTTGTTACAGAGTAGGGTACTTTTACAGTGTGATATTAATATTTTTACTTAAGTAAAGGCAGTTCATACTTCCTCTACTACTGGTGCTAAGATGCAAATTAACATGCTTTAGTTGCATGCTTTTTTAAAAATCATGTTTATAATTATGTTTATCTGTAGGGTCAATCTAGAGCTACAGTGCAGCTCAATCAACTCTCACAGTCACTTGCAATTAAAAAACATCCTTTTGTTTTCATTCTTTTGAGGGTCATTGTAGCTGATAATAATAATAATCATAATAATTGTTTAATACCATATACTGTAATAGCAAGAAAATCTCATACCGCTGCAACCCTAATCTCAATAAGCATAGTTAGTTGAGTATGAAGTTGCACATTAGGAAAAATGCTCTCACATGGAAAACCCTTTAGTGGGTTCCTAATTTTGACTTTTTCTTTTTGCAATTCACATTCCTAGTGTTTCCACATTTTGCCACCTACACATTGCCCTTCAAAGAATGGTAGCCAGCGTTTCTAACACTGCACGCCACAGTCACCTGCTCAGCCTTCGAAATGCATTCTCTGTGGGTGGTCCCTGGACACGGTGGTTTGATTTGCATATGTGCATGTTTTGCTGCAGCTTCCCAAATACAGCAGGAACCTTGTGCATTAGATCCTGACTGCCTGTGTAACTACGTAACATGTCCTCAGAATGTTTTTATCTGCATGTTTTAACAATGCTTATTACTTTATTTCCTCTTGCACCCAAGACATGAAAGTAGTCATTTGAAATGTGTTGACAGCTGAAGGAAAAGGTTGGAGGCAAAGATGTGCAGAGTTCCCAGAGTTTACTGCCAGATGGCTCCAAACATGCCTCTGCATCCTAACTTGATTTTGAGTCCATATCATAGATATGCACAGGCATATCTATGATATAGACTAAAGCAGCCTGATACAGAGGTGTAAAATGCACTGTGACTCTGATGACATAAGAGTCTCTTGCATTAAATGTGCAGATATATTTATTATATTTGTTACAAGGTCAGGCTTCATACTTTGAGTTGGCACGGTTCCCTGTGGACTTGGAAAGGGTTGTGGGGGCAGCTGTGGCTCAGGAGGTAGAACGGGTCATTTCCTAACTGGCGGATTAGCGGTTTGATTCCTGGCTTGTCCAGTCAACATGTCGAAGTGTCCTTGAGCAAGACACTGTACCCCCAGTTGCTCCCGGTGATGTCACTGGTGTGTGAGTGCTTGGGAGTGCGAATGGGTGAATGGCCGAATAATGTGAAAGCGCCTTTGAGTGTGCTGTAAAAGCATAGAAAGGCGCTATACAAGTATAAGACCATTTACCATTTAAGACCATTTATGTGTGGTTAAATGGAAAAAAAAAAAAAAGTGGACACTCCAAAGACAGTGAACATATGATGGGCCTGGCAGCTCTCGATACTGGATTTTGAAGTGTATCAATACATCTGTGTCAGATTGAAGTTTTATTTTTTATTTTTTGAAAGTCTTTTAGGTGTGCTCACTAAGTGATAATATTGACTCCATATCAGTAAAGGCACATTTGGATACACGTATAGGTATGTAACTAATTTTAAAAACTGACATGCATTCACACTTTGCCTTTACACAGATGCAGGCAAACCCATACACTCCCTTACTAAGTCACTGGGCTGTGGTTCTACCTCCTATCTTGCATAAAACACTATTTATTTGAAGAAATGTATGCGTATGGCAGCCTTAACAGGATAGAGCCTCGATACCTGAACAATAAATATATCTGAATAAGACACCCTATTCTGGATTTTAAACGCCTTGTCAATGGCAAAACTTTCAATGCTAAGTTATGTATTTCAACATATGAAATAAATAATAGACATAAAATTAAATGTTGACGCTTTGTACATATTGTAAATTCCCAGACAGTAATGGAAGGTTAATATTTTTGTGTATTTTGTCTTTTTTTCCCTCCCATTAACTAAACTGCCATCAATCTCACCCAGTGGTCTCATTCACTCCACTTAAACCCCGCCTCTTCTCAAATCTTACTGGTCAAGCAGTGTGAAAGCCCATCCTGGTTCGATGCTATGAGCCAATAAAAGCGCTCAATGTCAAATGGAGCTTTTAAAATCTACGCCCACATAGGCCACTCGCAATGAATGTCGGGAAATTTAGTTCTGCTGCTTTGTAATAAAACCGAACAGTGGTGGTACAACGAACTACAAAATACACATCCTGGTTTTAGGAGACGTTCACAGACTTCAGTTTGACAGCAAGACGAAGAAACAGAAGATACGCTTTTCAGCTGTATTACGCTGAATAATTTGGGACAAAGGGGCAGTATCATTATGGTATGTAAAGACGTGTAGGAACCAAAAAATATGTTGATTCTGTATGTTGTAGCTATCTTAGTCAACAGACTGGATTCAGGAAAACAATAAAAGCTAGCGTCAGTTAACGTTTCCTTTCATTACAAGGGACTTTGCTTGCAAATAGAAATTCGCTTTACCTAATCCTTACTGTCGTTACGGATCTTAGTATGACATGAGACTAACTTGGCTAGCCCTACAGTTTTCATATCAGGAATAAGGAACAAGTTTTTAGCGTTATGTGGGGTGTATAAATAGCTAGTACATACTCTCCTACAAGTTTCACCGTAGCTTGCTTGCTGTTGTTTATTTGGGGATGAGGCGTGTGCTAAGCTTGGTCATTCAAGCTCCAAAAATATTGCTGGCCTTCTCCCCGCCTAAGTTAAAAAACACAAGTCTGTTGTGCACCTCGTCTTACCAGGGAGACAGTACTTGCAATGGTACGCACAGCAGAATGGACTTGCTGTCAGACCCTCAGCTGTTTGAAGCCCACTTTGAGGAGCTGGTGACGGAGCTCACAGAGGGAGACTTCACCGATCCGGTGTTGGATGATGCCTTGAACAGATTGCGAGAGGTATGTTGGCTCTTTTGTTTACTGCCCTGTGTTCTTTGACATGTACCTTTAGTGTTATTTCATGTAATCCTTATCAGTATTTTTTGTTATTAGGTTTTGGTGTACAATACTGCTGGAGGTAAGCGGAACAGAGGCCTGTCTGTGATTGGCTCACTGAGGGAGCTTCTTCCACCCGCCCAGCTCACCCAGCACACAGTGCAACGGGCTCTGATGGTTGGCTGGTGCATTGAATTGGTAAGGATGTGTTATGGCGAATCATATACTAAGTCTGGCAATAATCCACATTTTTCTGTCATCAGGTCCCATTTAAAGACCAAAAATAGTGTTGCCAAAGCCTGATGTAACCAACTCTTTTGTGCATTGAGTGAGATGTTCCTGTATTACAATTAATATGGACACTAGTTTATTTTTAGGAAGTCCCAAGTGCTCTCATCTGCTACAGTAAATACACACTAGTGGATCAAATCCTTATATATAGCCCCCATTAAATACAAATTCTTTTCTAGTTGAGTGACATTTGCCAAAGACTAAAGTGCCTAGCTATTTAAGGAAGTTAACATGCCTTTTAGAACATGTAATTATATATCTGTGGCATAATTTTAAACATTTACACATTATGTAGGCATAAATGGGCTTGGGAATGAATTGGTTTTGGTCTCATTATGGTATTTGTTGACATTACTAAAAGTACAGGATAACTTCAGGATAAAACTATTCATTCATCCATGTGCTTTAAAATTTAGCCTCTTATATTTCAAACCAGTTGATTTACACAACTAGCAAATTCATCTACCTATTATGTTAATTTTGTTGATGTGATTAAGATTTGATACAGACTCTACCCTCAGAGAATCAGTCTTGCATGACAGTTTTTTAACTTTATGTGCCGTTTTAATTGTTTCTAAAACATCATCTCACTAGCACCAACTCAGACTTATAATGACACCAATGTTACCTTCTCTACGTTGTGAAGTGTTACAATTGTGTGTCTTCTGCTTGCAGCTTCAAGCGTTTTTCCTTGTGGCAGATGATATCATGGATACATCTGTGACTCGGAGAGGACAGCCCTGCTGGTACAAGAGGGTGACTTAATTTTTTTTTCCATGTAGTGTTGTAATCTTTTTTCTTTACTATTAATAGTGTGTCCAGTTTCTCATGTAAATCCTTCCTGTTTCTGTTTAAGGATGGAATAGGTCTGGACGCCATCAATGATTCATTTCTTTTGGAAGGATCTGTCTACAGACTGCTTCGCAGACATTGCAGAGATCAGCCCTACTATGTTCACCTACTGGAGCTATTTACTGAGGTATTAAACTGTAAGTCTGGATTGAATACACAGCACACACACAGTAACTCAGGATTCTTACTGCATCTCTCTGTGTTTTAGACATCTTACCAGACAGAGCTCGGCCAAGCGCTGGACCTCATGACCGCTCCCCCCGGTCAGATTGACCTCAACAGATTCACCATGGAAAGGTTGTCAACTTATATCTGTGAAGTAAATTTGCAGAGAAGAATGTTGTCTACCAACGCAAATAAATGTAAAGATTTTGGTAACTGTCTTCCAGGTACAAAGCTATTGTAAAATACAAGACTGCCTTCTACTCTTTTTATCTCCCAGTGGCAGCTGCAATGTACATGGTGAGTGTCGGTGTATAAACACATGATAGGAGTAACACATAAGCTGTGTTTCCACTATTGGAACCTAATGAGCGGTAAACCTCGTAATTCCCTTAACCATCACCAAGCATAGCCTCTGGGGTTAAAGCAGACCATCCTGCTTTGTTTTTCCACTGTATTTTCTCTCTGTGTTGGTCTCTGTGTAGAGGAGGGAGGGGCTGCTCCCCTCTCACACATGCAGTCAACTGTGTGTTTACAATACAGTGCTTGTAATGCTCATGCTTGAGGTGTGAAGCTTTACTCGCACCCACCCCCTCCCCCTTCGTGTTCCTGTACTTGATTTTAGTACTACCTCCTGAGGGGCGGCAAAATTTGGCTCCCAGAATGAATCTCCAAAATGAGGGGGAAAAGCAGAACCTGTGACAAGCATTATGTGGGGTGACAGGTTTCAATAGGTTCATATAATGGAAAAACCCCTGTAGACATGATCGAGACGACACTGAAGGGTGGCAGTGAATTAGTGACTCTGAACAAAGATAATAACAGAGTATTGTTATGCTCTTTCCTTACATTTGTAGGCTGGAATCAAAAGTGAAGAAGAACACAATAATGCCAAACACATCTTACTTGAGATGGGAGAGTTCTTCCAAATACAGGTCATTACTCTTACACATCATTCCTCTTTCATGTCACACATCAAATAGTGTGCTACAGAGCTGATAACCACTGAGTGTTTCATTTGCAGGATGACTACCTAGATTGTTATGGTGACCCTGCTGTCACAGGAAAGATTGGGACAGACATCCAGGATAACAAGTGCAGCTGGCTGGTAGTGACAGCCCTGGAAATCATGACTCCTGAACAGAGAGCAGAGTTGGAGGTGGGTCCTCCGATAACAACCCCTTCTCTTTAAAACGTGCTTTGAGATTATGTGGCTGTGGATCATAGTTGTATGCAAAAATTCAGTTTAAACTAAAGGAGTGTGATTATATAGTACAGTATACTGTGTATTTATGGTGCACTATTTCCTTCACACAAACATCATGAATATTAAAATATTATTTTGTGCATGCATAGAATTAATAAAATGCATGCAACAATCGTATCACAGAAGGAAGTGCAGAAGAGTATGAACAGTGTTAGGATTTACCTTCTGATCCCACTTGATTTCATTTTCATCTGCTCCTCAGGCGTGTTATGGGCAGCAGGATGACGCCAGGGTAGAAAAGGTCAAAGCACTGTACAGCACCCTGCAAATGCCAAAACTGTACCACAAATATGAAGATGAGAGCTACCAGCGACTACAGAAACTAATCGAATGTCATGCTCAAAACCTCCCTCACTCAGTCTTCCTCAACTTTGCCAAGAAAATCTACAAAAGGAACAAGTGAGAGAGAATGGTTGTCTTCGGAGCTCCTCTCCCTTTAAAGAGGGTTTACCAAGACAAGGCTCTGACTGTAGCCGCATGACCCAAACAGGGCTGGGACTATGTTTAGAAAATGTTTCAGTGATATGTAGATACTTTGGAGCAACATCAAACAGCCAGTGTCATTTGCTCTGTCAGCTATTTATTGTCATTTCTCCACTGGAGAATGTAGTAGATGTATGAAATTGCACACTGACCGATCCAGTGTTCATATTTGTCTGCCCTGCGGGATGCATGGCAGGATGAAGATACAAATAAAATAAAACTCTAACTGGTTTTGATTTTGCAGCAACAGATTTTTGAATGTAGATTTTTAATTCCATATATTTTTGTATTGGTTCTAGATGTTATTGATTTTAATAAGTAATACATGGCCACTATTTTAATTTATGTGTGTGCTGGATGTGGACCTGAAATGTTAACTCAATTAATTTGAGAAACTTCTCTGCAACTTTTTTACAATTGATTTATCACTTTGATCATTTGTCAGACAGAATTGCTTCTCTAGCATTTCAGGTGTGATAATTTCTTGCTTTCATTTTGTCATAGGCCTATATAATGGTAAATTCAATATTTTCAGCTTTCTGACCTTTGATCACAGAAAATTGGAAGATACAGTATTTTGTGCTCTGCGAACCATTATAATAGTTATTTTGACTACTTTATAAAACCTTATATACAAAACTGTTCATGAGATATCAAGAAAGTAACTGACAGATAAATTAATAACAAGGAAAATAAATAGTGCAGCAGTACTGTCTTGAGGTGTGCAGTTAATCTTGAAGACAGGCTAATAAATGAATGGATGAATGAATTGCTAACAGGATTATTTAAGAGCAATTAAATGAAATGAGACTTTCCCTCTAAACACTTAATCTCAAAAAGTAATCATTTAAGGGAGGTGAAAATGACACCATGTAAATTGGATGTGGTGATAAGGCGAGTAAGGGGTGCGGCTTGGTCGAGATAGAGAGAAGGGGGGCGGGGTACGATGTTTTGCTGGAAGCTCGCGAGAACACAGACGCTGAGGCTGTTACCGTTGAGGAGAGCTTCATGTTCAGACGGTCTGAGATGCGAGAGTCCCATAGGAGATGGACACCAGCACCCATCTTTACCAGAATTTAATCGTGAGTCGAGTCCCATTTTATTAGCTCATTTTGGCCTCTTATTTCGTTTTCAAATGAACCCGCAGAAGCCGTTCGGGTAAGCAAAACGTCCTGTTCCCACACGGAGGGTGCGCAGATCTGAGACATCGAATTCTGATCTTAACAGTGATATTTGTAGAACAGTTTTCTATAAGCATATTATTATTATTTTCCGTTTTAACTGGAATACAAATACGTGTAATATTTGAGTTACAATAGGGCTACATGGGCCTGTATCAGTGCGATGCGGTTGGAGGTACCTCCTCCTCCTCCCATCCTCCGTCTCCATCTGCTCTGTGGAATCAATAAATGCAGGGATAAATCATGTACTCAGGATGGGTTAAATTACATACGATGAAACGCTGTTTTTTCTTTTAGTTTCAGGCTTTGCTAGCTTTAGTGGCCGTGCCGATGAGGCCCACCTGGGTAATTCATATTTCCCAGTTACAGTGTGTGAAGGGCACTGTGAAGGAATAGCCTTTATGAGCAATAGCCTTCGGTAGATGGGCTTTTAAAAGGCAGGTGTTGTTCAGTGCTGCTGCCTGATTATGTGTTATGTGCCCTAGGTATGTAGTTTTTTCTTTTCTTTTCTTTTTAGCTAGATCTTATCCCTCTTATCAGCTTGTGAAGATGGTCTGGCACAGATGAAGACAGCTTGACTACTGTAAACTCATGAATATCAGTGAAGCTGAACACAACAGATGAAAATCATGAGTGACCGACTACAAATTAGCTGGCAGTTATTATTGTGGGGATCATTTCGTGCAATATTTGCTATAGTTGTGTGTTTGTGTATTTAAATAAGTTGATAGATGCCATCTGAAATCAAGATAATGGTACAACAGATAAAACAAGGTGGAGAAAACCTGCATAGAAATGAAGTGGCACTTCTATTATTTACATATCCAACAATTGTTTACTTTTACCGAACTGTTGCAAATCCAAATTGTTCCCAAATATTACCCCTAAACATTATTTAATTTTAATGGTATATAGGCCTACATGTATTCTATAGTGAAACCATTTTCTGCTATAGTATAGTAATTCAGCTACACTATACTGTCCGAAAAAATAAATATAAAACTACCATTCTATACAGTGATTGACCTGCAGATTATTTTTATCTACATAATGTCAGAAAAAAGTGAAAAATGTTCAAATCCAAGATGATGTTTTTATGTCTTGTGTTGTCCAACAAACAGTGCAAAACCCAAGAAATTAATTTTGCTATTGTGAAAAATCGAAAACAACTGATAACTAATGAATATTTGGCACTTTTGTGACTTCACTGATGAATGATTAAACAGTATATTTTTATCACAGTTTTATTAAATAACAAAAATTATTTTCCTTAATTGGTGATGCTTGATATTGTGCAGTTTTTAAGGTATGTCTGTGAGACCATGTGTGTTCATATCACTGCTGTGATAATTATAGAACAGGAAACTTTAAAGACTTGACCTAATAAGAAAACGTGTAGAGCAGGTGTTTCATGAGCAAAGTTTGCTCATAGTTGTTATTCACTGTGTGTCTCCTTTGATGTTACAGGCTCTTGGGAGTCAAGCCAAGATGTGACCGTCACGGCGCGTCATAGCTTGGATCTGTCCAGCCTTTATAACGCTTGTTTCTATAGCAACAGAAAAATTAGAGTATCCTAGAAAGTCCCATTCTCACAATGCAGTCCTCTAGCTGCTCCTCTCAGCCTGCAAAGCCACGGCGTTTTGATGTCAACAGACGGACCAATACCTTATCTGTACCAAAGTCTCATGGCCATGGTGTTCAGAGAGAGGATAAAAACATGAACACAGTCACCTCCTCCTCACCACGCCAGGCCACTAAAGGCCGCGTTGTACCTACAAGGAGCAGGGTGGGGGTGCAGCCTCGAGCTCCAGTGAGCCAGTCCAGGTTTGGCTCACAAAAACAGGGTTCTGGCATCTCCAGATCAGCTAAAACCAAACCTAAAGGTGCTTGCTTTTCGGCAGCAGCCCAAATTGCACCTGCGGCCACTTCATCTCCGCTTCCCTCTGTTCTCCCTCTTGACCCGAATTGCAACAAGCCGAGCCTCCCCTGTCTGTGCTGTGATGGGCGCTCCCCGCAAGACAACAACAGTATGTTCAACCATAACCACAACAACAACAACACCATCTCTCTCAGACAGGAAATGCAGCTACCACCTCCTCCATCCCTATTGCCCCAGGGGCAGGATGGGACAGAGGGCAAAGAGCAACCTGAGCCTACCTTGCAAGTACAGACCCAGCTGGAGCCCTCTGCCTTCCCTCCTGCCAATCTGCAAAAGGAAGGCAAGGATGCAGATGAAAGAGCTGATCTGGGAAACAGGAAAAATATAAAGGTAGAAGAAGAAGATGACGAGGAAGAGAGCCGTGGCAATATTGATATTGATGATGATGATGATGATGTCGAGGAGGCTGACAGTGATGATGACGACGATGATGACACTCTGGTTCCCTCATGCTGTGACTGTCCTCCCTCCCTCCTGGAGTTCTCGCTCTCCTCTTCTACCTCCTCATCCTCCACTTCCATCAGCTCCTGCTCTGATCTGGAGTCTGACTGTGCGGATCAATCTGCCTCACTCTGCTCTTCCCAAGACCAAGATAATCTTTCTGTTGCTTTGTCCCCCAAAGAGCACTCTCTTTCACAAACCCCTGAATGCCAGCCTCCTGTGTGTTCTCCCCCTTCCCTTTCTCTTAGCCACAATCCCTTCTTATCATCACTTTGCCCAATTCCCCTTTGCTCCCCAGATGAGGGCTACCCCTCTACCCTGGACACCCCTTCTCCTGATTATTTAGGAGTCAAAGGTGATTCAGAGGTTACCAAACTAAGCTTGCTTGACTTCTTAGAATCAGTGGGGGAGTTTGGGAAAATGGAACGCTTTAGTCAGGTGATCCAAGTGGCTCGCTGGGATTTGGAAGGGGAACAGCACTGGGATGTTCTAAGGGATCGATTAGATCACCTGGATCGTTTGGAGAAAGTCAACAGGGAGGTAAAACTGGCCTACATTGCTAGACTCCATGAGAAGGGATTTCATCTTGGAGATCTCAAAGAGCAGGACCTTTCGGATGTTATGGATGAAATGGGGAACATCGACATTCCCTGGAAGTTGTATAAAAGCCACAGTGGATCAATGGGAGACTCTCAGGAGTTTTCGGATGCTGGGGTTGACCTGACTGCTCCATCAGACTGCGATGATCCGCTTGTTCCAGATTCTCTCACCGCTTCCCCTGTTGAGCCGCCACCTAGACCACCAAAACCCCCTGTGCGTCACGCCAGCGTGAGCTCTGACCTCCACACCTACATCAATATCAGCAGGGAGACTACCTCCATGGCTGTCTCCACCTCACCTACATTGTCGACATTCTCTCCTAACTCCTCATCGCCCACATTCACCACATTTAAGTGTGAGAAATCCCTTCCTCCATCTCCACCATCAATCCCTCCTCTCCCTGCCTCTAAGCCTGTTCCTTATCTCACTCTATACACCACTTCTTCTCCACCCCCATCTATCCCCACACCAACACCTCCCATCCCTCCCCCCCGTAGGCGCCACCTTGCTAGGAAGGAGGCACAGAGGCTTGCTGCTCTTCAAGCTGAACAGGAAAAGACACCCCTGTCCCTCCCACCTCCTACAATGCAGCCACCACCCCTTCCTCCTCCACCTGTTGTCTCAATCTGCTCCTCTTCCCCCCCTGCCATACCACCTCCACCTGCTCTGCCTCCTCCCCCCTCCTTCCATGCCCTGGATATAGAGATTCGAAAGTTACTTATGCTTGCAGGATTGACCCAAGCTGAGCTTCTCAAACTCAGCCCAGAGCTTGGTGTGTGTGTCAGGGGCTTAGGGGATGAAGATGATGGAGACAATCTTATCCCATCTAGATCTGCAGACTCAAATGAGTTCAGACTACAAGATGGGGAGGAGGAGAAGGAATGTGATGCTGACTATATTGACAAAGATGAATGGCACAGCAGAGCCAAGTTGAACGGAGATCTGAGAATAGCTGAAGAAGGCAAAAAGAAAGAGGAGAGCAAAGACACACAAAGAACCACCTCCTTCACTGAGATAGCAAGAAGAAGGAAAAGAAACAGTGGACTGACTTCCGACCATTACTACAGCACCGGTCTCAGCAAAATACATGAAACTAAACTGAAGAATATGAGCTCTGAGACTTTCCATTATCCTGCTGGGTTACCAGATTCACCACCACCACCTCCTCCTCCTCGGCCCTTACCTCCAATCCCGCCGTCTTTGCCATCCCCTTATGTCAGCACTCTCCCTGCCAACTCTGAACAACCTGAGCGTTTTGATTGGCTCATAGCATTCACACCCGACTGTGATGCCCCGCCAGAGCATCCACCCCCGGAAATGAGATCATCTCATTTGGAACCCCAAAAGACGCTCAGTTCATCAGTGTCATCTCTGGGGGCAGCTCCAAAGGTCACGACTTTCAAAGAGCTGCGTTTCCGCAACAAGAGCGCCTTCCCCCCAACAAAGGTGATCACTGATCCAGAACCTGACCCCACAGTCATCACTCCAGATCCAGATATACTGTATAACTTGAAGTGGAGAAAAGAGAAGGCAGGAAGCGATGGCAGCCAATGGGAGTACACCTCTCAGGCTCAGGCTCTGTTCATGCAGCCACCACCAGCCCTCACCTCAATGGCTGCTCTGAAGGAAATGCTCCAGAGGGCTGAAGAGGAGGGCGGACAACCAGAGCTGTGTCCAACACAGAAGATTGGCTGCTCAGTCAGTGACAGCAGCCTGTGGACCATGGGCAGAAAGTGGGAGGGGGAAGAAGTTAAGAGGGAAGAAAAGGAAAGGAAGGAAGATGAAGAAGAACAAATGGAGGTGAGAGGAAGAGCCGATGGAGAAAGGACCTTTGAATCAAGAATTACAGGTGAGTATGAATCTCTGTGGTGATGCTAATAAAAATAAAGGAAGCAGCTAAATTTGAATCACATGTATCTGTATGAGAGAAAATTTACAATACTCAAACACATCATAGTACCTCCTAGTACCCTACTACCCACACTGTGATTTGGATGGCACAATAAATCTGGGATGGGCAGATAATGGAACAAAACAGATGGAGAAAAGACAGACTAAGTGTGGCCTGCAGTCAGTTTGTTCACTTTCTTAGTGGTGCACAAACACAGTAATATCTTTGGACAGGGCAATAGAGAGAAACAGAAAACCATGGGAGATGACAACATAGACCTGTTTATAGAAATGATGTATAGCACAAAAGCCAAGGGATGGAGGATGAGCATGAGTCACACAACAGGATGATGTGTGATATGATGGGTAATTGTTAACAAGGGATAATCAGAGGGTGATTTTAGGTGGGTGAAGTGAGCAAGACAGCTGAAGCTGGACAGAGAGAGATGAAGTGAGGGGAGTGAAGGTAATATGAGGAGAAAAAGGGGGTTGGAAAGTTCCCAGCCAGCATTTGCTGTACTGGTTAGCAAAGTGTGATGTCATCACTCCCTTATTCAATTATTCATCCACTCTTCGGTCCAAGGGGAGGGGGATTATAGAGGCCCCAGTGAAGCTGCCTGCCTTTCTCTTCCTTCTTTAGCTCACTTCTCTTTTTCTTTCTCTTTTTGTTTGTAAAATGCTCTTCTTCTCTTTCTCTTTTTTACTGGTGTTAAATCCAGTCAGCTTGAGATGTTTCTCTGCTTTTCTCTTGCTGTCTATCCTGTTTGCTCACCCCCACCCATTCCTCCAGTAGTAGCATAGATTGGCTCAGATCAAGTTATGTGTCTCATACAGTGCTGCAGCACAGACTACATAGACACTAAAGAATAAATTCTAATTGTCCAGATACAGTAAGGTGAGCGGTTTAATTCAAATCGCTCATCTTTCCCGAGTGCCAAATGACTGCTGATTTTGGAGAGAGATGTTACATTACTTTGGCATTATTTCATGAATATACTTGCGCTTTCTAGTGATCAAAATCAAATGAATTATTGAGTTACGTATGTGCTGTAGAAGTTCCCCAGAATCACTTCAGTAAGGACTAGCGGCCAAGGTTATGTACACCTTTAAGAGCCAAAGGGGTGGATCTTAGTACATGGACCAATGGCTGGGAGCCAGAGTCAGAAAAATAGGAAGTATCGTATGTTAGTTACAGTCATGGGTGTAGTATGAAGGCAGTTCAGAGACAGCCTATCCGAGGTATGGTTGCTTTCTAGCTCATTTTGTAGCCTGTAGCTTAGCACTCTGTCACAGGTAGTTAAGTGTAATGAAAATAAGTGTTGCCACAGTTTCAGTCTCCAC